CTAAAGCCCTTAACCCCCAAGCTCAAAACCCTAAACCCAAAAAACCTGACCCCTTAACCTTAAACCCCTTAACCCCAAACCCCTAAAGCCCTATGCCATAGATCCCTGTATAGGATCCCTTTAGCCAAACCCTTTTAAGCACGGACTTTGAGTCCCCAACCCTAAACCCCAAACCCTGAAACCATCTCAACACCCTAAACCTCTAAAGCCCTCAAAACCCCCAAAATCCTGAAGCCCAACACCCGTAAAGCCCTACACCTGAAAAGCCCTAAGCCCAAATCACAAGGCTAGGAGCCAGCGCTTGGCCGATCACTTCCCTCGAGTGGTCCCATTTGTACAACCTGATGCGCGTGTTGGGGTCTTTTGTCTCTCGCACTCGACAAGTCAGACGAGGTTGGAGGACACTGACAAATAACTAGCTACGGCTACTAGTCTCGCAACATCCACCCGTTCCTGGAACATGCACTGTGAAGAGGGTCGGTCGCCTGAACAGTCCAAACAGGGCTTCAGGGCTTCAGGCTTATCAGGGGCGCTGAATACGCTAGCCCCAAAAAGGTTAACCTTTTCAATTAATAGTAGGGTTACATACACCCCAAAAGGTTAAAGGTTACTTACTCAGCTACAAAGCACGCCAAGATGTTGCAGCGTCCTGTAGCCCGGCAATGCTAACCCTGAAAAGCCGCCCTGCAATCCAAGCAACCAGAAATCCCACAACACCCCTACTGAACAAGCAATCTACTTCTTGATTGAAAAGGCATCCTTGCCTCTGAAACGGCCTAAAGTCAGGCACGTATTAAGCGGAAAAATGCCGGAACACATCATTGGCAGGGCTCCTAAATCCATCATCCTCCGTGTATATAAGCAGTGATACAGCCCAATGCCACCCGTATATTAAGACAAAACCCGATGAAAGCAAAACACGAACTCACCATTAAACCAAGTTGCATTCGAAATCCCGAGCGAAGCCAAAGCCTAACCGCCCTGAACCCTATTGAACCTTCTACAGTACCCGTAGAAGAACCCTGAAGGGCCCTATGTGTCCTTGAAGTAAGGATCCTTTAAAGGAGCCCTTTTTTCAAAAAAAGGAGCCCTAGCAAACAAAACCTCTCCAGCCAAGCTTCAGTTGCTCCAGGACGCGGCAGTCCTGGGGGCAGGATTCAGAAGTCCTCATCTTCAGTTCCTTTACAGGGGTACCCAGAGAACCCAATACCCCCTTAATTAAGGAATATACCTTGAATCAAAATATGAAGCCCCTATAATTTAAGGAATATTCCTTAATTACTTAATCAAGGGGTTTTGGGATCTCTGGGTACATAGCGACATAGAGGTTGAGGGGACTTACTACATAGGGTTATAGGCATCTTGTCAACTGCGGTTGCGAGTAGCCATGACTGTAGTTACCTTACTGACAGACCCACTTTCCACGTCCCCTGATCCTCTAAGTACGCTTTGAGGGTTAGGGTTTGGGGTACTTAGAGGATCAGCTGACTTAGTAAGTAGGGTTGTAAATACCTTGATCAGATTAGAAAGTCCATAATACTTCAGTTACCTCACTTATAGCCCTACTTACTTTTCCGCTGGCGCTACTTACGTACTTTTTCCGCTGAACCGCTGAGTAGGGTTTTAGTCTGTTCTTTGAATTCCCAGTTTCCTCGCCATGATCACTCGGCGAGAAGCCCTGCAGGCTTCGGGTTTACAGTTAAAGTGTGACTCTCCAGGGTTTCGGCCCTAGTTGTGGCTGTGAAGGGTTTGAGGCATGTAGTCCAGGCAATCAGGGTTTAGGAACAACACCCAGAACACCCCCTGCACGGCCGTAGCCTCTCGCGAAATAAGAACAACTGCTCCTACTTCTCAAATCGCTGAATCGCTTCATGCTTCTCCTCATCCCGCGCATTCTCGTTCAGCTTAAAATGTACTTTTGTGACTACCGTAGGCTGCTGCTATCGGAGGCTGACAATTCAAGCTTTGATTGTGTCCAAAAACATCGTGACATTCCACTGCTGCTGGTTCTATGCGCCCCATACACTTGGCCATCCTGGCTTCACTCTTCCGGCGAAGGGGGACACTTGACTCGAAGACCAAGAAACTACGCCGGCTCACAACCTCTACTGCCTACCCCTAGTTTAGTTAAGGGTTCAAGGTAACGAAACCTCGTGTCAAGGCCAACAGCTGGCGGTTTGTGTTGGGTTTTGTGGTCGTGGTGCTAGCGAAGCCACGGGAAACAAACCTTACTTACACCATGCAATGCGCTCCCGAAGAAACCGACAAGAGTGACCCTCAGTTCATACTGGAACTCACTTGCTGATGCGCGTCACTGTGCTGCGCAGTGAAAGCCGTGCCTCAGGAAGCCGGGAATTCGGTCTCGGAGTTCGGGGTTCAAGGGCACTATGCACGATGCGCCCAACCATGAAAACGCGTTGAGCAAATTTTCTCGCTATAGCCTACAACAACAGGTGCACCGAGCAAGCTACGCCCTTCAGGCTTTAAACCCCGTAAGACCTACTCTACTAATCACCAACACTTAATCAGCCCGAATATGGGGGTCTTAACACTTTCAGACAGGGTTTGGCGCTAGATTTACAGTAAATTTCAACAGGGGCCATAAGGGAATATGATCATATAATATAAGTATTCAAGCTTGTATTTGGCACCGAGTGTAACAAACGAACGTGAAGGATCATTTGGCGCTGCGTCGGTCTCGGATATGTATCTTGATCAAGGATTTTGGCGAATCTTTGCAATCTAAGGCGAAAATTAAGTCATTAAAGCGTTTGGATCAGGGCTTGGGTATAGTATAGAACACAGCATTATATTAAACGTCTGTATCGTCCCCGAAACTCCCACCTGCACCTGTTTCCTAGGCGCGATAAGGGTTTAAGGTTTTCCGTAGAGGTGTGAACATGCACCGCTGATCACGCTTTAGGGCTGCCGGATTTAAAGATTCGGGAAACATCAAGAACTTTGGGGCGTAGTGAGGGGCCTGGTCAGTCGGTTGTCTGTTGCGAATACAGACCCAAGGGTTTAGGGGAACTGTACTGGCTAAGCCGGGAGGGCTCTTATTATAGCTGTACGGAAGTAGACTCTTCAAACCTTTTCTAATTAGTTACTAAGTCCCGTATACTAAGCTCTTACAGAAACGTTTCTGTCCCAGGGTTGGTGGTGTCGGCCGTAAATGCGACAACAAAGCCATGAACAGTCTGGCGTAAGTTTGAAATCTTCAGCTACCCACTGGGCATTTCAAGGCCGCCCTTAGCTGAAGTCCGAGACTTCTGCCCGAGGTGCCGAGCATCTCAACGCGCATCTTTGTAAGCTCCTCAACATGGTTTACATATGCTTGAGGCTTCCAAGATGGAGGGTGCTCTGTAAGCCCTCAGTATGCACGTGTACGACGGTGTAGAACTTGGACTCTCATTCGGGCTCACGGTCCAGGGCTTACGGCTTAAAGCGTTCATGTTGCAGGTTTCTTGCCACGGACCGGTCGAGGAAGTTCCAAGCACACGAAAGTGGTCCTACAACCCTCTAGAGGCATTCTGCGCGAGGAACCTGAAAACCGAAACTGGTGCCACGGGCACAGGGCTTGGGGTTTTGGGTTTCGCTGTCCTGCAAAGCTTCACCTTCATTCAGTTCCCACCAACACTACGGCCCTACACACTGTAATTGAACCTTGTTGCATTGGGCTATTCCTTTAAACCCTAACCGTCCTAACACCCTAGCCGTGAGAGCCCATGGGGTCCTCGATGATGGACGGGTTGTTGCAGTACCTTGGTGCAACGCTGAGGGCTCTGGGCCCGGGTTTGCAATAGTTTCTCTGTCATGCCGGTATTCAAAGCCCCTTTCGAAACGATTTAACCTTACACTGACCCCATGAAACCCTGCCAAACAGATACAGGTGTCCAGAATGGCTGACAAAGTTATGGTAACGCAGCGACAAGCATCCTCTCTCTGCGGTGATGATAATGGCCAGGAAAAGCATGATGACGACGACGATGATGCTTGTGATAATGTGAACTGTGCATGCTTTGCGGCAACGGAGGATGTCGAAGCCGACGGCCGTTTTTGTCTTTGCCGCATCGGCGTGCTGTGATGATGTCTTCGTAGCTACTTGTAGGGCAAGTACCATTTCAGCCAGAGCCCGAACAGCCGAGCGGCCACCAACAGCCGTACAAGTGCAAGTTGCGTGTTTTTTGCACCACGACCTCGATGAAGGGATCGAGGGTTTCATGTTTCATGCTTCCTGGTCTTCGTTTCGGGCCTTCGAGTTTACCTTAGCAGACTTCATGGTTCTAGGGTTACTGCTTCTTACGTCTTGTAGAATCTTAGACACGGGCATGGTCTCAAAATTCGAGTGTCAGGCCTGTGGGCTTGGGGACTATGGTCTCCCAGCTTCGGGAGCACACGAGACTAGAGTTGTAGGAGACAGGGTCTGCGTGTTGCAACCCGTTGGACAGTTGAATTGAAGGTGGGTATGGATGGGGATGCTGCAGAACCCCAAACCCTAAATTCTAAACCCGTAGGGTGTCCAAGCAGAAAGCTCACAAGGCATCTGTGTGCTAGTCACTGAGAAGGGGCCATTGTTGCTTCATGCTCTTGCAACCTCATACCCAAGTCTAAGTCTAATCAGCCGAGAAAAGAGTGCCTCGGTATTACCCTCTTCCAGCAACTGGAAGGCCCAGCGCCCCATTCAGAACAAAATCAGAATTTGGGGCCTGCAAGCCCTATACACCCTGAGCGCGTAGACTCTTGTAGTCGGCACTGCCACGCACGGATTTTTACGACCACTTCCAGGCAGAGAACCAAGTTAACAGCCCCATCTGCAAGGACCCCAGACAGACACATCAGCTAGGAATGCCATCTGCTATCCGCTGCCCGAAATAACTGGCCTAGCTGGAACCTAAACAAACGATCAAGCAACAGCCAGAGGAAAAGGTGTGAAGGGAACCCAACGAAACCGTCGCGAGCTAGCAGGCTTCCTCAGTCATGCATTCCGCTGCAAGCCAACCTCACCTATCTGGAAGATGCATGCATGCCTGTGCCAGTCTGACTGCCCTTACCTCTCGGCTCTTTCCTTCGCCCGATGTCTCATCTGCGAGGATTCGGCTCATGGAGAAAGCCGGGTGGGTGCCTATACTGAACTTCGAACCCTAGCAAAAACTATATAATTTTAGCTGTTTTTTAGGGATTATAATAACCAAAAGTTATAATTTTAGCTGTATCTTCGGGATCATACTAACCAAAAGTTAAAAATTATTTCTAAGTACCCCTAAGGTGCGGGGGTCCGAGGCGAATCGCTGGAAGCGGCGAGTCTGGGACGATTGCCCCGCGGCGGCCGTCGACTCCTCCAGCGCCAGGCGAATCATCCGCCCCGAGGAACGAGCCCTCCCCAAGAGCAGAAGTAGAACGAAGGCATCGTAGAAGAGCTGGCAGAGGATGGCTGGATGCGCGCCGAACTCCGCCAAGATCAGCTCAGTCATGTCTGAGACTTGCGAAAGCAACGCAGACTCCTTGGCCTCAGCCTCTGAAGCAGTGAAGTTTCGAGTCTGCCAAAGGCGGGTCTGCGCGGACAGCTTCGCATCGAGCGCGGCGAGCCGAAGTCTCCGCTCGTCACTTCCAGGCGTGGACTCCGAGCAGGCGGGGCAGCAGCAGGAGAAGCGCCACCTGGGAGCTTCCGAAAAGAAGGGACCCCCAAAAAATGCCTATATTTTACGAAATAGAAGGATCCTGTCCGTAAGGACCCCAAAATACGGTACCCCGAATTTTCGAAAACTCCCACCTCCTCCTGAGCTGTGCTTGCCTCTGCTCTTGTGACAAGAATCCAGGCACATAGGAAATGCAAAGCTCCTCTCCCGGCTGGATGGCCCTCGTTGCATGCAGCACCATCAGACCATCCTCGCCCTGCCAGGAGTGAACAACATTGGGCCGGCAGCTGTGGTTGATCCTCGACGTTTGCGGAAAGAGCATCGCCTGCCCATCGCAGGACACCGCATTGGTGCAGAAGACTCCGGCGGCCGTTTTCTCCCCCTCCGTGAAAGCATCCCCGAGTCCCCAAAATCTTGCTGCCTCGTCGCAACGCAAGGATGCCACCTGCTTCCCGAGGACCTCGTCCAGCTCATGCCACGCGGCCGCGTCGTCGAGGGCTGAGGTTTGGTTGGTGTCCACGCAGAGCAGCGGCGCCTCTTGAAGCACGCGGTCGCCCCGACGGATCGGCACCGTTGCCAAAGCGCCTAAGCCTTTGCCCTCAATGGCTTTCACTGTGAAACCCACATCACCACCCGCTGCAGAATGACAAGCCGCCAGTCGCCGCGATGAGGCTCGCGACAGCCTCTTAAGACCGGCAAACACGGACGCAAAGCATAGGGCGGCCGGTCGACTGGACCTACCCCGTCTTCTTGCATCATCATCCTGCCAGCGAACTTGCCAAACAGCATGCCTGCTTGAAGACGCCTTTGGGAAGACTTGCCTGCCCCAGCACGCTACGGCGGCCATCTTCCAGCTGAAGAAGCCCTTTCCAGACTCGTCGATGGACCTCCCCTCCTTCGCACCGCCTAGTTACTTTTCGTGTTTTGAGAGGGGCCTCGTGATATGCGCTCCTGACAAAGAAAACCATCTACAATCCAAGTCACTACCTTCTACTTCCAATGGCTGCGGTATTCTGTAAGGCCCCTACACGCTAGCAGCCTTATACAGCTTGCGGCCACGAGAAACGCCTTGCCGGCCTTGAGCCGTGGCCAGGTCTTTGGTTGTCCGAATGATTCGAGGCATTGAAATCGCGACGTAAGCCGTAATTAATCGAATCGACGGGTGATAGGATAAATCGTACAAGCGCGGCGGACGAAGCATTGAAACCAAAAGCTACCAAACCCGGCGAAAGTTCCCATACCTACTTAGGCAGATGTAAAGGTAAGACCGTGCGCACGAGGGACGGCTTGAGCATTGTGGTTTATTGCTTGTTCGACCGGTGTTGGCGTGGGTCTCTCGGAAAGCCCGACAGATGGGAGTTTCCGAAAATAGGGACCCTAATATAGGACCCTAAATAGTAGGATCCTTATTATACGGACCCCTAAATAAGGTACCCCCAATTTTCGGAAACTCCCTAAACCCTAAACCCTATAGATCCCTTATAGGAACCCTTAAATAGGATCCCTTTTAAAGGGACCCTAAGGTACCCCCAATTTTCGGAAACCCCGACAGATCCGGTGGCGGTCTGAGTCCAAGGCGGTGAGTTCGTGCTGGTTGGCTCTGCTCAGTACCTCGGAACCCCAACAGCTGCTCTAATGCAACATGGGAGGGACCCTAAATGGGGACCCCTACCCCATAATGGGCTAGATAATGGGTATGAAAGGAACTCTTACAGTACTAACCACTATGGGCTATTAGACCCTAAAGATCCCTATTAGGACCTTATTAAGGGTAGATTAAGGTACCCATAAGATCTAATAACCCATAGTGGTAATGCAACATGGCAGCGCCCCTAAATGGGGACCCCTGGGTCCCCATAATGGGCTAGATAATGGGTATATACTGGCTATATTAAGGGTATATTCCTAGTGGGGGGTCTGCATGTCAATAGGCTGAGGGTTAGAGTAAGAGTTTTACAATGACCATAAGCGGAGTCTTTGCCCCTAGTTATTCCAATGCGTTTGTTCTGTGCTTCAGCATACACACCACGAAAGCTTTGCTCCAGGACAATACCCCAACTCCCAAGAACATGTCCCAGCATAGTTCTTGAACCTGAAACCTGACAGGACCCGGACATCACATTATGAAAAGAATCAACCAGGTTCCCAGTACCCCCTTACACATCGGGGTACCCTTGTTCCTAGTATTCAGCTTTCCCTGAGACAGAAAGGGCGCGGCTCCTGGTCTAACCCCAGCCTCTGACATCACAGCTCCAAGGCACAGTCACCAGGAACTTCACTTTGGGAAAGCGAGCACACAACGCCTGAAAGAAAAGTCAGTCTTGGATACTGGGTTCCTTGTTTTGGAGTTGAGTTTACGTTACCATAGTAGGGATCTATAGTAAATAATCGGGTTTCTTGGCTATGATAGCTTAAATTGAAGAATTCCTGAACAAGAACCCAGGATAGGTTGAAATCATTACTCGCCGATAGCGTTGGTTTGCTGGGTCACTACGACTTGCGGTCTAGGGCTCCGCACTCGGAGCTTAGGCTTGACTTCAAGACTTCCGCTTTTGGAGAAAAATTGCAACACCTCGGTAGGTTTAGAAATTTAGGCTATAGGGTTTAGGGTTTAGGGTATAGGGTTTAGGGTTTAGGCTATAGACTCCAGATCTGCAGTCAGCACCTCAAAACTTGCGAATGGGGTCTCAATAGAGACTACTGAAGACGTCGCAACGACAAACTCTCCGCAACAACCCGACTGTGAGCCCTAAACTCGACAAGCTCAGAAAAACCTGTGCAGACTTTTCTCTGCGACAGTACCTCCCCCTATCGCTAAGAGAACTGCCTGAACAGTTTGACTAGGGTTTCAGGGTGTGTTATAGGATAATCCTTATACAGCCCGACAGAAGCCCTTATAACAACCTCGACCAAAGAATGCTATTCATGACTATTCAGACCTCTTACAGAACTAGGGAGACAGGGCCCGAAGGGCCCTATTGAATTGAGGCCTGGCCCAACCATACAAACCAAGGTGTCGTGGTGGTGAACTCAGACCTTAGCCTCAGGCACTACACAGGAATAGACTTGACCTGAAACGGAACCTGACTGACTCCGCACGTGCTACGACGACTGAGCACCAGTAACGGTAGAAAACACGTTAGACGAACCCTAACCATACATGGCGTACATGCTAGAACAAGAGAACCCGAACCGTCTGGACGTGGCCTGCAGTGACGCTACGTCCGCCGATGCGACACCATCGCCTTTGCAGTCCAGGAACTGTGGAAGAACACAAGCCCAGAGGGTTTAGAAAGCCTGAAACTTCGTGATTCTTGGGCTGCAAAACAAGGTTGTAGCAGGGATTCACAACCGATACCCCTTGCTGAGACGACAACCTGAACACCGGGAAACGCTTTCTGCAATCTCAGGGGTACTTGCTGCTGAATCCTAAGGCTTAAGGGGTACGGGACTGTCTAACCCTAAGGGTCCATGTACCCATATAGAGATACATGAGCCCCAACGTACTCATATAGGGACTACATTAAGGCCAATGTATATACTATATGAGTACATGGACCCTTAGGGCAATATTGAACAGGGTTTTGGGGCCCATTATACTATAGTCATAATAAGGAACCCCCAAAATAGCATAGGTAATTATATTGGCCCTGTGCTATTGAACAGAAGCAGCACGAACTGAAGATCACGGCCATTACAGATCGCTCGCTCCTTACTGGTGGCAAGAGCAGTGCCAGTGTAGGCACCATTAGCAGCGCAAGTGCAAGCATTGTACTACGCAGTAGTAGTAGCAGTGTAGTAGTAGTAGTAGTAGTAGTAGTAGTAGTAGTAGTAGTAGTAGTAGTAGTAGTAGTAGTAGTGGTGGTAGTAGTAGTAGTAGTAGTAGTAGTAGTAGTAGTAGTAGTAGTGGTAGTAGCAATAGCAGTGGCAGTAGCAGTAGCACCTAAACCCCAAAGAAATCCCCGGGCCTCCGCAGCAAGGGTCCAGATCTGGTGACATGCCCCGCCATGCTCCAAGCTTCCTTAGGCTCAGGGTTTAGGGTTCAGGGGTTTGGGGGTTTAGGGGTTTAGGGGCTTACACGGGGTTTAGGGTTTAGGGTTTAGGGATTTAGGCGTTTAGGGTTTCGACGCTCACACTCGCACAAGGCAGGCAAGGCTGCGTTTAGGGTTTAGGGTTTAGGGCTGAAGACTTTACGACGAAGTTTTGGGGCTTAGCTGACACTTTAAGGCTTGCTGAGATAACTTCAGAAACTGAAGCAATAATTACATCGGGCGGCCGCATGCAAATTTCATTCCGAAGCGTCCAATCGCCCCCCCAAGCCCTGGCTCTATAAGTAGCACGAAACCACGGAGAATCAGAGACTACAGGTATACATAAACTATCCCAGTGCTCATGGAGGGTGCGCGATTTTGCCTCGAAGGATTCAAATTCACGGCTTCGGGAGATCGGGTGATTGGTGCAAACATACCCGAAGTCCGAGCTTACTCAATCCCAAGCCCTAGAGTGCTAAAGCCTAAACCTTCAAACCAAAACCCCTAAAACAGATCCACTACTCTAAGCCGGCTCGGGCCTCCGGTTCACCTAGGAAGCCTAGAAGATCCTGTCTGTGGTACCCCTGAAGTGCAAGCTCCGAATCCGGCGACTGCGAGCCCAGCACCCCTCAAAAAAGAGAGAACCCTGGCTTAGGCCTTAAGAGGATAAGCTGTAGGAGAATACCTCCAGCCTCCGGTATACCAAGTGACAGAGCGATTGGCAAGCCTAGCTCCTGGAGGCAGCTTTTGTCAGTAAAATCTCTCGACCCTAGAAGAGACTCTGCAAAGGATTTGGGTTTGCGGGTTTAGTTTAGGGTTTGGAGTTTAGGGTTTAAGGACAGGCCCGCGGCCCTAGAACGTACAAAGAATGGTTCGGGGCTTTCAAGTCTGTGAAGGCAAAAAGACTTTCTTCAAATATGGCTGCGGTTACCCATGGACTTGCAGGTCATGGTTTCTAGGGACAGTGCACTACCAGTAGTAGTAGTAGTAGTAGTAGTAGTAGTAGTAGTAGTAGTAGTAGTAGTAGTAGTAGTAGTAGTAGTAGTTGTAGTAGTAGTAGTAGTAGTAGTAGCAGGAGCAGGAGCAGGAGCAGGAGCAGGAGCAGTAGTAGTAGTAGTAGTAGTAGTAGTAGTAGTAGTAGTAGTAGTAGTAGTAGTAGTAGTAGTAGTAGTAGTAGTAGTACTAGTAGTAGTAGCAGTAGTACTAGTAGTAGTAGTAGTGGTGGTAGTAGTAGCAGTAGTAGTAGTGGTGGTGGTGGTGGTGGTGGAAGTGGTGGAAGTGGTGGTCGTAGCCGCAGTCGTAGTCGTAATTGTAGTCGTCGGGGTAGTGGTCGGGGTGGTAGTAGTAACACTAGTAGCAGTAGTAGTAGTAGTAGTAGTCGTCGTCGTCGTGGTGGTGGTAGTGGTAGCAGTAGTAGTAGTAGTAGTAGTAGTAGTAGTAGTAGTAGCAGCAGGAGTAGTAGTAGTAGTAGTAGTAGTAGTAGTAGTAGTAGTAGTAGTAGTAGTGGTAGTGGTAATAGTAGGAGTAGTAGTAGTAGTAGTAGAAGTACTAGTAGTAGTAGTAGTAGTAGTAGTAGTAGTAGTAGTAGTAGTAGTAGTAGTAGTAGTAGTAGTAGTAGTAGTAGTAGTAGTATTAGTAGTAGTAGGAGTAGGAGTAGCAGTCACTCACAACCACGGCCAGAACCACAACCACAACCATCACCTTACTATAAATCCAGGCGTCCTGTTAACGGCTGCTCTTCTTGTGTTGTATGTGTGTATATATACATATATATGTGTATATATATATATATACATACATCTATCTATTTTTAGGCAGATACTGTACTATGCCGCTAGTCTCCGTGTACGCTTACTTGAGTTCACGTGGCAGAGTAGAGCAGTGAAAAAAGCTACTGAAACAAACCGGTTCGCTGCCCTCTATGACATCGCAAATCCCGCCGACATCATGCGCAAGATGCAATCTAGGCCATGAACTTGCTGCTGGAAAAGGAAGGGAGTCGCGCTTGTTTTGCTTTAGCCTCCCCGGACTTCGATCTTCACTAATGTAGGAACCTGACGAAGCAACCCTGAGCCAATAACCCCAAACTAGGATTCTCGTAAGGAACCCTAATAAAGGCCCAAGGTTTCTTAATCAGGTTCCTACATTATCCCTGCCACTCACTTTTGCAGTGGCCGTGGCCTACACATCACGCTGCCCTGCAAGCAGAATGTACAGTCTTCAAGGTGGGCTATCCGAGTCTTTAGGACTGTTAGGGGAATGAGGCGCTGCCAAAACCCCCCCAACATTCAGCGAAAGACACGTCCTAATCTATAAGGCGCATGCCATTCAAAGCTGCATGGGGTGATTGGGCTTCAATTTGAAGCGGCAGCCTCGACAGTTCCAATGCAGGGCCTGACCTGACCTGAACAAAGCCCGAAGTCTTGTCGGACATGGGTTGAAGCTGGTTGAGGGTTTCAGGGATTAGGGTCTAGGGTTCTTTCAGTTGGGGTTTCGGTTTGGGGGTGTAGTACGGGTTTGGGGTCGCTACTTAGTTCACGTTACTGGCGCTCTGGGCTTTGGGTGTGGGGCTTCAGAACTTATCAGAATTTTGGGTGTTGCCTCGGATGTACGGTGTGAGGCATCGCGTCACGGAAGTCCCATCTCAAGCCACCCCTGGGCCCTAAACGCTGCAACCTGAACCCGGCATCCTACCAGGACCCCACACGGGCCCTTTAATAGAGGCCTTATGGGCCTTAATAGTGGGTATTTGGGGTATATCAGAGGGTGGGTCTAGGTAGACTCCACCATTTACAAAAACGGGTAAGCACTTCCACGAGCTCAAAAAGGCCGGCCGGGCACGCGTGATGTTTCTGACGAACCATGTGGGTGGTTGTCAAAATTATGGTCCCTTTCTGGGTACCCTAAATATTAGGTGCCGTATTTTAATAAGGACACAAAAGGGACCCGAATATTGACAACCACCCATGTCGGTCGCAACACCCGTGAATCGAAAGCACGGCAAGAGGAGCGATCTTGCAGTTCAAGCTAGCAGGGCTGGAGAGGTTCAAGACTTAAACTTTATTTGGGGTTGAAGTGTACTAAGACCCCCCCAACTACCCTCTCATATACCTCAAATACCCACTATTAAGGACCATAAGACCTCCATGAAAGGCCCCTTGGCCCGTCCTGGCAGGCTTTCTGCTTTAGGGCAGGGTGGACAACTGAGCAGTATGCCTCCAAGCGATGACAAGCTGGCACGTAAACGGTCTGAGCATCTCTGAGCACAACCAGGACCCCTCAAAAGCCCTTTAATAGAGGCCTTATAGTCCTTAATAGTGGTACTTGGGATATGTTAGAGGGTAGGTCGGGGGTCTGGGAAGGGGACGAAAACAAACCAAACATCACGTGATGAAACCGCAAGTTCAAAACAAGTCTACAGCATAATTGCCATTGTGATGCTGGTGGGCTTCTGCAACCTGGATGCTTGAATGCTACAACATCAAACCAAGCGAATACACACCGACAAACTGCAAGGTTTCCTCAATGTGCTTCAAAGCAACGAATGCATAGGATGAAAGCGACTGAACGAGCAAACCGTAGGGCAAGATAACCAAGGTGGAGGCAGATGCACCAAGAGACCCTGTTGCCACTTCAGGCGTCAACTACAATGCGTGCTGCGCTTGCTGTGAAGCTTTTTTCAGTTAATTGCTCCTCTCGCCGTGTTCCCCGTTGCTGAAACGCTGGCTGCACTCAGCGCGCAGCCAATTGGGCGCTACCCAGAGGATCCGATATCCCTTCAGCCAGGAGGGATGTCATGAAAGTGCTGGATCATACGGTTTAGGGTAAAACGGCAATATTCGTCAACGAAGAGATGCATTGGAGCCTTCCGGGACGGCGCAGCCCTTCCGCGTCTGATGTTCGGAGCCTTTCGATGCTTGCTACGGAGGGATGCAAGCTCGTTGCACCCCCCGTGCTCCTAAGCCCTCGAAAAGTTTTCGTCGCGACATATCTTAAACTAAATTTCACCCGAAGATCTTGTGCTGCTTTTAAATGTTGTATTCAGCGGAAGCAGCTCCCAGTATTCAAAATGCAGCCACGGATTCAACTCCAAAACACATTCACGCTCAACCCAGCTTGCAACCCTTCTCGCCAAACATCCATGTTCGAAGCGCACATGGCCAAGCCGTGGTATGGATGTACCTTTATGACAGCTTGGCAACCTCAACACATCAAATACTTCCAAACCAAAACACTGTCTTCAAGCGCCAATACTGTCAGGGGCTGCCTCGTTCAACGATCTGTGTGCTATCGTATGGCTGCCAATATTCACGATGCTTTTCCCGCAAGAGCTGCAAACCAAAACCTTACTGGGTTGCCACAATCTGTATACTATGGCTGCTGTGCCGTTGCACCACAATCCGCGACAAAGCCCCCATGCTATCATGTGAGGCAGGAGGGCTTTCACTTCTCTAGCTAGCAAGCATGACACATGGGAGAAACAGCATAATGGGGCGCGGCATTCAACTGAATTGTACGACAAAGCAAGCTTTCAGAGACAGCAAAAGCAAAAAGCCACCGCAAGGTAAACTAAACAATTTCCTTTGTGCGACGGATGGCAGTATCTCACAAAGGTTGGAGGTATTGTAGCTTGCAGCAAGAAGCAGTGAAACCTCAGAGAAGTCACAAGAGCACCCTCTGCTACACGAACCAGGGAATTCTGCAACCACATATGCTAGAACTCAGCAGTGCTTGGAAAATAATCCACAAATACTCAACCGCACAACTTCAGACCTCTGCACAGACACAGACCAGCATGAAACAATGTTAGCAAATAACTGAGTTATGCAGAGGTGCAGTCGTGACCTATGTACGCATGTGCATGCATATGTAGATGCAGAGGGAGGTGTGCTCTACATCAAGCATGCGTGCTCCCTTCACATGTGACTACTTCACACACACGCACTCACTCACTCACTCACTCACTCACTCACTCACTCACTCTCTCTCTGTCTCGCTCTCTCTCTCTCTCCCTATCTCTCTCTCTCTCTCTCTCTCTCTCTCTCTCTCTCTCTCTCTCTCTCTCTCTCTCTCTCTCTCTCTCTCTCTCTCTCTCTCTCTCTCTCTCCCTCCACATAAAAGAGCTTTGCACAGAAGGCTATTTGCCGAAACTCTGCCAAAGCTTCGCCTATTAGTTTTCTCAGAGCCTAACGGCTCCCCAGTGAAAGGCTCCGAAAGGAAACGACGCTACGGTCATGGGCCAAAAAACAGCCGAAACCCAACCATTGCAACCTGCGCTTAAATTTCAAAGCATATAAATGAGTTCGAGGACATTCCAATAAGACGCTGTGAGGCTCGACTTGCTGTCAGACTCAAACTTGGGGTATCCTGGGGCGTGGGGCATATCGTTGGGATTTAGACAGAGCCTTAAACTTCAGTCATTGACTGAAGTAGCATGTCCTTGGATCTTTTCATTTAACTCCGGACATCCTTCCCAAACTAAGCGTCACATGACCGATCGACGCATGGCAATGCCCGTAGTTCCACCCCGCAAACCTCTCAACTGTAAATGATAAACATGTCAGCCATAAACACACGCAATGTGAAAATTGGTCTTGTGTGTCTGCATCCGCCGGACTCCGAAAACCTTTGTTCAGCAAGTACTGACACCATCTTTTCTTTTGTAAAGGTTCAAGAGCTATCTAGCGGAGAGTTTACGCACTCCCCCAGTTGTGCCATTTGAGGTGTTTGGAAATTAAGACTCTGTCGCTACTTTCGCTGCTTCACTGGCGGCGGCCGGTAATCGCTGAGGAAACCTGAGACGGAGAGCTCTCCCCCAAAGTGCGCCGCACCCTCACCTCACCCTTAAACCCTAAGCCCTAAACGCCAGAATCAAAATCAGTTTCCATAGTTCAGGGTCCTTATATGGTATAATGCAGGATTTAGATCATCAACAGTAGAGCGCGGACTTGACGTGCATGCCTGCCGGTCCAAACCTGACGACTGAGCCTCCTCAGGAGTGACTCGATGGATGCATCCGGGGGAGAAAAAACACCCCAAACTTAGGGTTTAGGGTTTAGGGGCCCCAAAGTAGTTCCCTTGTAAAATTACCTTTTTGGATTCTATATACGCACCCCAAAAAGGAACTACTTTGGGGTCTTTGGGTAAAGGCACCCAGATCCCCACGACCGACCACTATTCGGGTTACTGCGATTCTGGGGTTCCAGAATGTCGACGGATCCAAACCCCGTACTGTTGATGATATAAATCCTGCATTACCTTAAGGACCCTAAACTATGGCAATTATGGTATATTCCTCATTATGGGAAATCCAGGATTTTTATCATCAACCGTACGACTTGTCACGGCGCACGGTTTAGGGCTCGGGGTGTAGGGTTAAACCTGGTCCTTATCGGCAAGCGCGACATGGAAGCTTGGAGCTGAAACCGAAAACCGAACACCCTAAACTTAGGGTTTAGGTTTAGGGTTTAGGATTTTTTTGTTTTAGGGTTTAGGGTTTAGGGTCCTAAACCCACTTCACGGCCCCTGAAAAACCGTCCTTTGGCCGGGTTTAAGCCTTGTAGTGTTTGGGCGCTAGCTCTCGGACGTGCCAGGCTAGGTTCTTGGTGAAGGGTCGGCTGGAGGTGAAACCCTGGTGCAACCCATATTCGAGTGTGGTTGAGGACTCAAGGTTTTGTTTTACTACTATGTGCTTAAGAGCCCCCAAAAAATAAAAAATATATTCCTTATAGGGATAATATGGGGATTATTATTTTTTATTTTTTGGGTGGTTTTTAAGCAAATAGTAGTTTACAAGATAAAGATCTCAGATGTCTGGACCAGGGGCTTCTAGGGCTTGACACGCACGGGTTGACTTCACCTGCCGAGGTCTTCGATGATTCGCTTCCATGGGTTTCCAGTACATCACAGACAGTTTCAAGTGGTGCACTACTACTCAAACATGAAGTGGTTTCAAGCTGCTTCAAGGTTGTGAAAACGCCTGTTACGCGCCATTACCTGCATTACTGTACACTCAGTTCAGAGCCTAAATGTAAACGATCGCCGACATCGTGCAAATGGTGCCATAGTGTTGCTGGCAGCTTGCGTGCTCTCTCCTGCTTTCTCTCGGGTTCCTTTAGCATCTTCATGTTCATAGCAATCGCAGTCTCCGCAGACCTTACATAGTTGGACACCACAAGCCTTGTCCGAGAGTGAGCGACAGAACCCTGAACTTCCTAATCGCAAGTGTCATTGCCCCAACTACCCTCCAATATACACCAGAAACCCACTATGAAGGACCATAGCGGCTCTATAAAAGGGATCTTGAGGGGTCTCGGTGCGAGGGAAGCTGCTCGGCTTCTTTTCCTTCTTGGGGCGCAGCCCGCGGAAGAGGTCCTCTCAAAGGCCCCAACATCCCCGAAGTCACGGCTCCCTTTAGTGTACCGGACTTTAGCATAGGGGCCTTAATACTGAGAATAGGGCATGAGGGAGAATATTGTACTATTATAGAATTTATATAGTTAAAATAAGGACCTCCCACAATAGTATTGGTAACTATTTTGGCCCCTACGTTTAGATTGCTTCATAGGGTTTCTTTGGGGTTTCGCTTCAATGATAGTCCGGCGACGAGCTTACCGGAGACTCCCATAGCCCTACATAATTTCAAGGATCCCATGTTGCATTTTTTGAGCAGGGAAAGCCCCGAATGTTGCCTGAACCCTAAATCCTGAACTCGAGCTGAGGAATCCTACCACGACATAGGGGATGTTGCGAATTCACGGAGCTCTAAACCATCAGGGTTTGCCTGGTAAGAACGGAGGCAATGTAGAAGCTGAATAGTTTCGTACACTTTTCCGTGGGGATACTACAAACAATAATAATAATAATAATAATAATACAGTATGCCACCGAATACCATTCATTTGTCTAAGACCCCTCTGACAAAATTAAGATCGACTTAAATCAAAACCTCACAGTAACCCTTCTAGAAACCCTGAAAGGAAATCTAGTCTAAACTTATCAGGGCCCCTGTATTCGCCTCGGCCTCTGCCGTGCCGAAGAAGTTAAAGTTTTCTACAGCAGTCTCCTGTTTTCCCCTCCCCTTCATCCCCTCCCCAACGACACACATCCCTTATCTTGCCACCTGACCCACCCCTCCTTCCTTTCCTCTGCGCCCATTCACAGGTGGTGTGGGGCCGAGAGGCGGACGACGCGAAGCATTTACAGATACGTACACTATCCTTCACTTGCCGTTTTGGGTTTAGGGCCTCTGGCCTCTGTGCAGGAAGCCTAGAAACATTAACCTCACATGCCAAACCTGCGGCCCCCAGTAAAAGCCCAAACACAAGACCAGGCCCTAGACGAGGCTTCGCGCGCAAGGAACTACCACATATGACTTGCTTACGGTTGACCTTCAGTTTGCCTTGATGGTGCCCTCAAAAATCTCAAAAGAGCCATGTGAAACCTAAAGAGCTATGCAAAGACAACCACAACCATCATAATGCTCTTGTACACACTACAAAACCCTAACCCCTGAACCCTAAACCCCTAAACCCTAAATACAACCCTTAAGATCTAGCCCGTCGCCTCGAAGTCATCTTCATCCCCACGCAGCCAAAGGACGGCCTGGCTTTGAAGGCCAGGAACCCAGAGACTCCAATATCCCTAGCGTTCCTTAAAAGGGTTCCAAGAAAGGATCTAAGTCTATAGGATTTATGGTTTAGGGGACTCCAATATCCCTTGATTAAGGAATATACCTTAAAATATTATAGGATCCGTAATATGGTTGAAGGAATATTCCCTAATTAAGGGATATTGGAGTCTCTGGGAACCCTAAGGAATGGGTACCTGAATATCCGGGCCTGGGGACACGTCTGGGGTTTCCGACGCTCACACTCGCGCTGGGCAGGCAAGGCCCCACATAGTCGAGGTTTAGGGTATCGGGTTTTACGGTGGATATTTAGATTGGATGGCTAAACCTCTCATCTCTAAACCCGAACCGATTACACCGCCACTCGAAAGGCAACAACCAAGAAATACACCCCCCAAATCTCCAAGCTACGACACGCGGCGGTTTACCGTAAGACTCCAAGTGCACAAATTATGCTTACATGGGGCTCGACGGTCTGAAAAAGAGTACCTACTCTAGGGGCAAAGTCAAAGTTTCACTGCTGCGGCCCCTGTACTGACTCTGAGGGTATACCATGCCCTTAACCACCCCTAATCCCAATGCAGGGTTTTAAGTTGAGAGATTCCAGTCCAGACCCCGGCGGTGCAAGGCCTTCTCGCTGGCCATCGAACGCCCTTGGAGGCATCACAGCACGGGCTGAAATGACGGAACTGTCCAGCATGCGAAATACCTAGGGGAAACACACTCAAGCAAGCCTGTGCGAAACCCACATGGTGGGCATCTGATCTTACCTAGAAAGACTGGAGACTCGAAGAAGACCGTCGTTGTTTTGCAAGAGCTCAAGGTTCAGGGTGCAGCCCCAATAAACCATAAAACCCTTCCAACCCATATGCTGCACCTGGGACGGCTAAGAAGCAGACGTCTGTCCTTGCACCAACCCTCCCAAGCAAAGTGACCATCTCTGATGTTTAAGGAACAGAGCAAGATACTGACAAAGAAGGCACTGACAAACCCTCAACCCGAAGCTCCTCTCACGATGAAGCTCTTGCTGCAAGATGCTGCAAGAAAGCTCGAGGACAACTAGGCGGCTGACGAAAAATCAGGACAGGGCTCACTTGGCTAAGCAAATGAAGCATACTGTATTTAAATCTCCGTTTCAGAGATCCCTGCACCCTAGAACGCGCTGCCCTTCCCCTGGCACGACTCGCATGAGCCTACACGAAAAACCCTACACCAGGGTGCACAGTCTACAGCAGTCGGATGCTGCAACATACAGCTGCTTATCACAAATCGTCCACCCCCGGCTAAAACATTAAGCCCCCTAAACCTTGCAATCTCTAGACCCTCGAGCCCACAGTCCTGTAATAAGCCCGAGACCGTGCACAGCCAGGAAAATTGGCAGGGGCTGGTCACGTGAGCGTGTACAGTAGGGCTTAAAGTTCTACTGCAAGGTCCAGCTCTTAAGGGTTTAGGGTCGGAAATTTATAAGGGCTGGGGCTAAGCTCTGTGCTACCTTTCGGCATGGGGACTTAGGATTCGTTTGCCCCTGCGCCCCCCTGCGGTGCTTGCCAACCCAAAAGCTCAAGCCCCCAAAACACTAACTCAGAAAGCCCTGTTTTTGCAGCAGGACCTGCGCAATCGCACCCTGAAGGCCCTGAGTCCTGGAATCCTCAAACTCTGAAACCCTAAAGTCTAAAGTAGAACCTAGGCCCTTAAACCCAAAAGCGTGGTTGCTGCTGCGCTGCTATCGTCCTGCGCTTTTGCCTGCGGCTTGTATTTCGCCTTTTGAGCCTTGATGAAGTCCTCCTGGCTCAAAAACTGGTGGACCAAAGCAAGAACTACAATGGAGACGACATATACCAGCACCGCCCTAGTACCCGTTAACGGAGTCCGAATAGCCTTAATAGTGGGTGCTTAGGGTATATTAGACGGTAATAGAGGGTTGTTGGGGGGTAACTATAGGTATGGACGAGGCTTTCGGGTTTGTTCAGGTCTTAGAATGGGGTTTCGATTTCAGGACTGGGGAATCTGAGGCCTTCACCCCAACGCTTCGGACCTTCGAGGAACCGAAAACCCTCAATCTTCTTCCTCTCCTGTTTAAGCAGGAGACTGCAGTGCACTAAGCCTTGGATCCCTTCAACCCTTTTTCCTGTATTCCAAGACCTTCCAAAACCCTTAGGCCCGTGATTAAGGAATGTACCTTGCACTTTAGTCGGATCCCTACTATGATTCGAAGTAGATTCCTTAATTAAGGGGTTTTGGAGTCTCCGGACTGTAGTGTGAAGCTCCGCTAGCCAGGGCCATGCTTTAGGGTTTTTGCCTCCCGCCTGGCTAGGACGAACCTACGATGCAGGGTACGCTTGTGGATACACGTTGGTCTGTACACAGGGGCAGCCATCCCCGTACACTCCTTAAGAGTTCGTTCATGCAGCTCGAATCTGCTTTAGGGTTTAGGGCTGTTGGGGTTAGGGCTTAGGGCTTAGGGTTCAGCGTTTGGGGCTCTAGGGTTTACGGCTTGAGGGCTGCAGGCTTTAGGGTGTAAGGTTTAGCGGTTTAGCGCTTTTAAGGGTCAGTCAAGACCCGAATAAGTCAAACGATGGTCTTCCGGAAAGTTGTAGTAACAAAGTACGGAAGCCTAAGCCAGGGCCAAAGCCCGCAACCCTACCCCACCCAAGTCTTATCTGGATCCTAGATACGGCCGACGGTCTAAGCAAGGGAGCCTTCAATATAACTAGATTCGACGGTGTCGGTGCACCCTGAAACATCTCCACAAGGATCCAAGCCGGAATGATTCAACCTGTTGCACAAAATACGGCTTAGGGTCGTAAGAAACCCCTGGACAGGATTCGTTGCGACCCCAACGAAACACGAAACTTGAGAGCCATCCCGATGCGTACGAGAGCTTGCGAGAACTCCTGAACCCTGAACTGCAGCATGCTGCGCCCGCAAACTAGCGTGCATCACCTACAGCCCTTATGGCACACCAAACCCTAAACACCAGACCTCAGAAAGTTACACGCCCCCCAAAGCTGAAATTTCGCAGATCCTTGGAGAGGACCGAGTCGAGGTATTCCTTTCCCAGTATCTTCGCATCCTTTGGGTCCAAACTTGGGGTTTAGGATGGTTTGGGTTTTGTTCCCGCTTTAGGGTTTAGGGGTTACGGTTTAGGGTTTAGGGGTTTAGAGTTTAGGTTTTGTTCCCGCTTTAAGGTTTAGGGTTTAGAGGTTTAGGGGTTTAGGTTGTGTTCCCGCTTTAGGGTTTAGGGGTTACGGTTTAGGGTTTAGGGGTTAGGGTTTAGGGTTTGTTCCCGCTTTAGGGTTTAGGGTTTAGGGGTTTCGGCGCTCACACTCGGACAATCCAGGCGAGGCATATGGTTCGGAGTCTGACAATGTGAAACTTCTTCAAAGGACCAGTCGCAGTACGGCAACCACAATTATCCCAACACATAAAGTGACTGTATCTGCTTGGACTGCATCCTTCCCACGGCCCCACGCACTGAAGCACATAGAAGACAAGTGGGACCCTGGGAACCTGGTAGCTACTCAGATCACGTCGAATGGGTTCGGGAAACAAGTAAGACTATAAGGTCAAATGACAGATATAGAGCCGGGACGGCCCAGGTACATGTAATCCATGTGACCTGCAGTCTATCCAGCAATTGTTTTGCATTTGTCCTTGCAGAGCAGCTTCTAGCTCTCTCAGCCCAAGCGCCGCACCTTCACTCTCTGAAGGATGGGCTCACGCAAGACCGTATTCCTGCGCATGAAGTTGACACTCACCCTAACTCCTGCGCCAAACAACCTGCTCCTGTCGGCGATGACATATGGACTGACGTTGCCTGCGTTTGCAAGCCGATGCACACGGACCGTGTCATTGTCTAAGTCCACGTCAGGGAGACACATGCAGTGTGTGAGAAACTGGCGGCACCCTGCTGACGGTATTCCGACGTGATTCGCGGAATCCGTAGCCGTGTACATTTGATGAAAGTTGAACACGCCTGTGCCAACCAAAGCAGGCCTCTTTGAAACGCTGCTGGTCGTGGTGGCACTATAGTTATCGTTCACGATCCCCGCGGCTAGAGCGTGGGCGAACACGATGTCACTGGCAACCAGGTACATCAACCGACTGGAACCCAACTCAACTGGGCTGCCTATGAGGCTTTCTGTACTGGGTTCTTCATCAATTGACACATCACGGTTCGACACGGAGAAGAGCGCATCTTTCAGCAGCATGTTGGTGTCGGCCAACGCTCCCAGGAAGTTGCCACATGTCTCGTAGCCAACCTGCAGCAAGAGAACTGGCGGAGGGGCAAATTCTGGGTCTCTGTCGTCCATTGGCACTCTCAAGCCAGGCAACCACGCCCCCATTTTTGAGGTGATCACCTGCACTGACTTCGGCAGGAGAATTCCGAAAACATCATGGATGCACTTTGTAAGAGATGCACCGTAGTCGGAAATCATACTGCTGTCGACCGTGGTCATTTCGGTTGTCCTTTCCCTGGGGTCGTTGAGCGGGATGACGGCGAAGGTATCAGCAACATTTGCTGACTGGGCAAGGCCACAGAAGCCTGTTCAAAAAGCTCGCAACACCAATGATCGACAAGTCACGGTCATGGACACGATATCCAATGCAAACAGCGATATGTCTACAAAATTAGTGAGGGAGGTCATAAAGACCTCAGCCATCCTCAATGTTTCATCGCAATGTACTCTGGCATCGTAAAACAGTTGCCCGAGCATGGTGATTGAGCTCGGTTGAGGCGCCAGCGTCTCAATGATGCAGCCCCACCCTGTGACAGGGGCATGATTTGCGTCAAAGATGCCAGATTGGCCGTGCACAGGCAGCCTCACGATCATGTTTAAAGCTAGGTACATGCCAGCGCGGACAGCCTGTGGATCTGGGATCTGGCTAAAGATGAGCGATAGCACCCTGTAAACAGCTTGTTTCGTGGGAAGCGTGTATCCATGACTGGTACGGGCCAAGCGCTGCATTGGCGTTCCTCACCACAACGAACACTTTCACAGGTCCGAGGCGATAGTCACACACGAATGGTTGCGCTTCGTTCGGATTGACCAGCATGACCTCGAAGTTCGGGATGGACGAAGTGAGCAGCCCGATGATGCTTAGCGTGCTATCGACAGAGTCGCTTGGTATGCGGAGAAGGATCGCATCCGCGTTGCCAGCATGTGTCACAAACGTATTCAAGGTACCAAGTTCTTGTGCGTCCGCGGGAGGAATCACGTCCTGGTTTCCACAAACAGCTCCTCCCGCGCCGTACTGCATGTTGTTCAACACTGGATTGTACTCGAGGGCGTATTCTATGTTGAACAGGTTGACCCAGATTCTGGTGCATAGATGAGTGTAGTTGATCAATGCTGGACCAGCTGAATATTTTAGGGGTTTAGGGTTTAGGAGGGTTTAGGCTTTGTTCGCGCTTCAGGCTTCCGGCGCCACACTCGAACAGTGCAGGCGAGGCATGTGGTTCGGAGTCTGTTGAGTGAGGCAGAACTAAGGGGAATGATATGATACAGCTTCAGGCTTTAGGGTTCGGGGTTCAAGGGGCTTGGGTAGCCAAAGGGTCACACCAGGGGTTGCTATGAGAGTTCTAGGGCATAGGGTCATATTTCATATTGGCAGTTTAGGGCTTCGGTTTGGGGACAAGCTCTTGCTGAAAAAGATCCTCACTATCGCGCCACCGGCTCCCGGGAACGCCCTGTCTCAGAAACCTCAAAAAGAAGCTTCAATCCGTTTGTGAAGGGTTGCTTTAAAATCCCTTCGTAGCGCATTTATGAACGGCCCCCCACCCCAATGAATGGCTGGCTTTGAATTGGGTTTACCGTTGCGCTATTGGGTGTTGCAGACTTCCTTTCCAGGTTTCAGTCACCCTCTCAAACCTTGCATCGAGCCGTCTGCGGAATCCCTAAACACTACGCCCTATGAACTCCCGAAACTTTGACCCTTAGCTGCAGCCCTAAACCATCAACCCCGGATCCGATACCTCGCCTCGAATTCTGAGAAGGGTCTGCTGACTCCCAGTACATTGTGGTAAGATGTCAAGCCACCCCAGAGGTTGAGAGCCAAAGGCCTGCGCTGGAGATCGTAGACGCAATGATAACCCGAACGCTCGAAAGCGTTAGCACCATACCCTGACATTCAAACCCGTGCTACTTCATGATTCCTGGTTCTGGACGGCGCAGGAGATTGTTGTGATCGTGATGCCGTGTTGATTGCTCTAAGACCAGAGTGCACTTAGTCAACTACATTGAAATAAAAGATTCCACGGAACTCCGTGCACTGTATCCGCGGGTTCCAAGACCAAAAAAGCCTTTTGCAACTGGCCTGCAACGGCCTATGAAGCTTAAACTTAAACCCTTTTTTCCACAGGCTTGATTAGTGCTCTTAAACTTAAACCCTAAACCCAAAAGGCCTTCTACTGGAAGCCCCTACCTCAGCTGAGCTGAACCCAGCAGGCTCGATAGTGTCCCTGGGTTGACGAACCCCGTCCCCCTCATCTACTAGACCTAAGAGTAACCTAGGAATAAAAAGGGTGCCCTTTTTGGTTTCAAGGGGATTATAAGGGAACCTGAACCCTAAAAAAGGGAATAAGGGCCTACTCTGGGTCCTAGTCTACAGTAGAGTCAGAGTATTAAGGACTTAAAGAAAGGGCTTGTTCATCGGAGCTCTACGGTAGACTCACACACTTTAAGGGTTCGGTCTACAATTTCCTGCCTACCCAATGCCCTCAAAGGAGAAACGGACCAACCTGACACATACAACATGAAATGGCAGGGTACACCTTCTGAAAGGATGAGGTAGCGACCTTTGCCCTGACTCAGCTGTGTATTCTACAGACTGCGTGTTGACGCCAACCGCTCATCCTTCAAGTAACTAGCAACCCGGCTTAAAGCCTCCGCAATCTCTAGCAACCCGGAAACCTGCACAATCTCAGCCAAAGAACACGCAGCTTCTGCGCCCATTCTTCCCGATATTGCAGCGCCTCCTTCGTTCGGTTTCCAAAGATACGATGCCTAGTGGCCTAGTGCGTCGGGGGGTTCGACATGTTGCTGCTATGCCCAAGCCCAGACTTCAAGATTAGAATGGGGATTTGGAATGTGGGAGTTTCACCATATTTTGGGGTCCTTACAATAAGGATTCTACTATTCAGGGTGCTATATTAGGGTCGCCTATTTTCGGAAACTCCCATGTAGTTTACTATAAATGTAAAAGTATTGAGGAAGCCCCAAATTAGTATAGGCAATAAATATAAGGCCCCTACAGTGCAGTCCCAATGTGGCGATCGCAGGTCCTCGGCATGGCAGAACTAGCAACACCCCCCGACTACCCTCTAATATACCCCAAGTACCCACTATTAAGGACCATAAGGCCTTCATATTAAAGGGCCCTTGGGGGTCCTGGTGAAACAGATCTTTAGGAATGGTCCGGTTTAGAGGCTCAATCTCAGCGAGGCTCTTGGCGCGTAGCCGGTTGGAGGCTATGGTTTACGCCGAGATGAGACGAGCTATGTACAAAGATCATCTTAGCTCATAACTGGTTATGCCAAAACTCAGTGATGCAGGCGTCCCGGCAAGGTGGGTGGTGGAGCCTGTATGCTGTTGGCGAATATGTCGGCCTTCCCGAATGCGGTCAAGTTCGCCAACGCACACGGCGCAAAAGTGAAGGCAATACCTTCCCCAGAGACTCCAATATCCCTTAATTAAGGAATATTCCTTAAATCATAACAGGATCCCTAATATGATTTAAGGAATATTCCTTAACTAAGGGATATTGGAGTCTCTGGGTCTTCAGCTCTTGCACCTCATGTGCTGCGTCCGGCTAGTTTGCCTTTCGGGCCAGAGCTTCATCGCTCCACCCTCATGACTCGTGGTGAGGCTCATGGCGGGTATGGAGAAGATGAAACCTAAAAGGCGCTAAAAGCGTCTCAGAACCCAGAGACTCCAATATCCCTTAATTAAGGAATATTCCTTAAATCATATAAGGGATCCTACTATAATTTAAGGTATATTCCTTAATTAAGGGATATTGGAGACTCTCAGAAGCAAAGCCCGGAACTGTTGAAAGCCACGAGCAAGCTGCCTGCATCCTGAACCCTCTTTTCAGGCTGGTGTTCAGGATTACCCTAAACCTTGCTGTGTGCCTGAACCTTATAATAAAACTATGAAACGCTAAACCTGAAAACCGGCGAGTTACCTGAACCCTAGCAGGCCCTAGCACAGATGGTTCATGAATTGAAATGAACCTTTGAAGATCCTTCGTGGGACGTCTGCGCTTCTTCAGGTTCATCGTCACCATGTCCTGCTTGAGGGTCTTTTGGGGTTTCGAAACGCTTTTGACGCCCACACTCCGCAATACCCGGCTAGGTCTGTAGACAAACTGGGATAACGATGACAGGGGATTGGGGCGTTTAGGTTGTTAGGGGCTGAGAGTGTTTGTTAGATGGGCTTTTCGTGCCGAGGGATCAGGGGCCTGCGAGGGCTCATGGGCTCAAAGATGCTTGGGATGGCTTGTACTTGGAGGATCATGGGACTTAGTGAGTAGGGTTGTAAGTACATTTATTGAGGTTAGATCTAACTATAGTTACCTTACTTATATATAACCCTACTTACTAAGCCCAATGATGCTCTAAGTATCTTAGGTCTGGAAGAGGGACTAGTACTGGAACATGACACACATGATAAACCAAGTCTAATCTCGTAAATATGATATGATATATCATATGATATGTATTCATGTACATATACGTATACATGTATACGTGTTAGGAATTGGGCCCGGGTTTGGGAGTGGTTTCGTCTAACGGGCTTTGGTCCAGGGTTCATGGGGCCATCGTTGTTATGGTGTACAGCTTGCGCTAGTTTCCATCCTACCTAGCGGACCTAGCAAGGACGCGCCCTCATTGCCAGGTAACTCTCTGAGCTCTAGGGTTATGCTACTTGCAGCCCTCACTGCCGAAACGTGACTTACTACCTGTCGCAACTTTTAAGAACTCCATGGACGTCCTCCCGAACACCACTGCAATCCGTGCGATCCCGAGGTCACTGCCTCTCTCAATAAATTCAAAAAAGTGCCTAAACCCTAAGCCGCTAAACCCCTTTTCTGCACTGGTCGGAAATCTAGCCAGTATACATGCCCCTAAATCCCTAAACCCCGAACCCCAAAACCCTTTTGTAAAACTTTTTAAACCCTCTGAAGCTCAAAAGACTGACTCCGGGTCCTGAAGGTCACTGCTTTCTGACAGACTCGCCTCCTCCTCCTCTTCGGGTGGGTCCTCTTCCTGTCTCTTAGGGGCTGAATACCCCAGGCCCAAAAAGGTTAGCTTATCAATTATAGTAGGATTATAAAAACACCCAAAAGGTTCAAGGTTACCTACTAAGGCCTTCTTTGCCATTTAGGGGTTTAGGAATTAAGAGGTTAGGGATTGGAGTCTTCAGGTGTTTAGTGTGTTGCAGGGCTTTCGGCTTAGGGGGGTCTCAGGGTTACTAGGGGGGATGTGGAATAGGGTCTGTCTACGACTTTGGGAGCTTGGGAGGTGCTTTCATAAGCAAAAGGAGCTAGGGATTCACGAGCGGGTGAGTTGAGGGGTTCCGAAGCTCCGACTTTCTTAAAGGTGCTTGGTGGGCGCTTCAGGTTTATGGATTTTAGGGCGCCGAGGAAAAAGAGCGGCCCCTCAGGGCCGGGTTAGACTACCGTCCTGTTAAGTTGGGGCTCCACGAGGCTTCCAGATATTTGGACCACATCTTGGAGAAGTCCACAAGCGCCCTGCGAATGTCCTCGATAGAAGTTATCAAACCTTGAAGAGGTTATGCCGCATGACACAATACAGTTCCCTACAACACCCAGAAGCCCCGGTTGCCTCGCTGTCTGGGCGGAAGAAGGAGGAGGTCACACTGCGGCTGCTGACGCTGCCCCGACTCTCCTCCGGCTATTATACTTAGAGGATTATGGGACTTAGTGAGTTAGGCGATGAGCCGTACAGTGCCTGGGGGCCTACAACACTGCCTTTAGGTCCCTTCACCGGAACAGTGTAAATCCCCGTGAAGAGGTTCTGTGAGGGTTACTACCGGGGTTCCAGGTTGGGACGTTAAACGCCGAAACAAGCACATCTGTCAGGTTTAGAGGGCTACGGTTTTCGAAATTAGGGTTTGAGGTTTTGCGGTTTACTGGACTTTGCAGTAAACAGTGAGACAAAAGTATAGACTTTTATTTCATAATGGTACCTTTAAGGAACAGGTACCAAAAAAAAGGTATTCAAGTATGGTACACAAAACCCAGATTTAAGATGTACAGTACTCCGTAACCCTAAGAACTGCGATTTTTGGGCTCAGGCTCTAGGTTTCCAAGACCTCAAGGTGCTGGGTGTAAGTCCTAAGCTGTGGGTCGACCGGTTGCCGAGGAGTTTGCAGCGTAGGGGTTGTAGGGGTACAGATTAGATTTGGGTTCAAGCTTCAGGGTTCTTTTCTTCCAGATTTTAAGGGATTTTATTGGGTCTTGCCTGTGCGCGGCTGCCCTGCTGGAAAGTTTGGACTTGGTCCTGAATCCTTCTGCCAACAACTGCCTGAACCGCAATGTCTGCATCCCTGAACCCTGAAAGCCTCAACCTGCAGCCGAAATCTTAAGAGCCCTAAATCTGGGTAAAGCCAGCTGACGTCGCAGAAGCGACTAAGGCTTCTGTTTGGGGCCGACCGCTCTAAGAATGTAGCCCCCTCATGAGAAGAAACACCCTTGTCGCTGAAAACTGACATCTTAGCATTACGACATTTCAGCCTTTCAGTATTCACCGAGGCTCTACATTACCCCAAATACGTAGTCTTGTAAGATCTTCAAAGCATCCGGATTCATGGATGTTGGTAGACATGGAAGCTCGGGGCCGCAAAGCAATGCAGACCCCTGATGAACAAGTAAAACATGCTGATATGCAGATCTTGATCATGGTCCATACAAACAAGACGAGGTTTGTTGATCACGGGTTCTACGTTGACTGAGGTTGACAGTGGGCTTCAGGTGGAGATCCGTCCAAACCCAGGTTTTGCTGGAAGTTCCTCATTTAAATCAAAGCGCAGAAGTACCGAAAAAAGTTCCCGAATGTAAACCCCTAAACCGCGTCCCCCACGATCTAAAATCGTTTTGATCCAGTACATTCTCCGTGCCAGGAAGCCCCTGCACCGCGGACTGCGAGGCCTAAATCCTCGTGTAAATTACTCCACGGAGGAAAACAAAAGCTTGACGCCCCAGCTTCCCATTCTGAAGCTCGAAACCGATGTTTCGATCTCTTGACATGTAAAGCATAGCTTCTATACTTGGTTCCACCAGCATGGTTTTAGCTTCCAATATTCATGCTATACTTGATAAGGAAAATACAACGTGTAAGGGTACGTCCTAGAACCCCTACAGTTACAGTATGGAACTCTCAAAAAGCCCGAAGAGGCTCCTCCGGCACCAATCCTCGGCCCTTGGTGGGAGAAGATTGCTTCGGTGCGCCCTCCGAACGCGGGAGACTTGCCTGGACATGGGCTTACTTGGAGGGCCGGGGGACTTAGTAAGTAGTTATCTTTATACAGTTATAAGTCATAGGTACCCTATCCCCAATTATATAGCATACTTCTAGGGTACTTATAGCTTTACTTCTTACCTACTTACAAGGTCCCCCGACCCCCCAAGTGGGGATCGAACCTCCTTATTGAGTTCCCTGGCCAAATAAGTTGACCAGGGCAGTTAGCTATGAACAGGGCAAAGGCCTATAGATAATCCAACCCCCTCGATATTACACCGTGGGCGCCCACCCAAGTAAAAAAGCGGAATGTGCTGTTATTGTATCAGGGGATATGCTTATCTCTACTGTCACTTTTGCAAGAGGTTGCTCTTGCTCCTGATCCAACTCTTGCACTCGTGATGGCTTTCGCTCCTGCTCCTTCGCTCGCCATTGCTCCTGCAATTTCTCTTACACCTGCTCTTGCTCTTGCTCCTGCTCTTGCTCCTGAACTCCCAAAATGCAAATTGGGTTTTGAAGATGATTTCGGGAGGATGGCCCCAAAGTGTGAAGGAACAAGTCGCTAATTCAATCACGACTAACGTGCTTCTACTTTTTGTGTGAGTTTACCTAACAAGAAGCCGCACAAATACTGGGGACTTAGTATAGGTGTTTCTTGGAGTTTTCAAGTTTCCCAAGGCCGACATCAGGATTCCAGAACTCATCTTGGCACCTCAGAAACCAGAACTCATCGTCAAACCTCAAGAACCCTTAATGCTAAACTAGGGAAACCTAGATCCCAAACTCCGAGCCTTTGTTAAACCCGACAGATAGAACCTCCAAGAACCCCATACTCCCAGATCCCTCATAGGACTGGGTTCGCCAAGTAGAAACAGGTTTCAAGCAAAGATGAACTTGAACAACCCTCTTCTAGTGCTAGAACCCCTGTAGAACTCTTACAGATGCCCAAGAGCCCAAGAGGCGCCTCCGGCACCAATCCTCGGCCCTTCGTCGGTGAAGATTGCTTCGGTGCGCCCGCCGAACGCGGGAGACTTGCCTGGACATTGATCGGCTTACTTGCAGGGCTGGGGGACTTAGTAATTAAGTAGGTACTCTATAGAGTTATAAGTACCCTCCCTTCCCTCCAATATTTAAATCTGTGGGGGCCACCCAAATAAAATCGGAAAGCGCTGTTATTGCACCAGGGGATATGATTTTCATTACTGTCACTTTTGAGAGATGTTGCCTTTGCTTCTGCTCCAACTCTTGCACTTGCGATGGCTTTCGCTCCTGCTCCTGCGCGCCTGCTCTTGCGCTCGCGCTTGCCCCTGCTCTTGCTTGTGCTCCTGCTCTTGCTCCTGTTCTTGCTCCTACTCCAGCTCCTCCTCTTGCTTTTGACTTTGCTTTTGCTCCTGCTCTGGCTCTTGCCTAGCTCCTGCGCTTGCTCCTGAACCCCAAAATGCGAATTAGGTTTCAAAGGGTGGGGGAGGATGGCCCCAAAAAGGAAAACCTCGTTATGGAATCACTAATGTGCTTCTACTTTTTGTGCGCGTTTACATCAAAGTAGCAGCAGGAAATACGGCGGGCATAGTAAATGTGTTTCCTGGAGATTGAAAAGTCATTCCTGAACGCATCTTGGCATCTCAGAATCCAGAACCCTTCCCGCACACTCTATAACCCTTAGTACTAAACTCTCAAAACCTTGAACCCAAGCTCCGAGCCTTCGTAAAGCCCGATAGATAGAACCGGGCTGGTTTGTTTTTGAATGATTTTCAACAACACTCTTCTACTCCTAGGTTTTACCTGTAGCCGGAAAGACCTACCTTTTTAGGGTTCCTTATTATGGCTTCTATATATAGTTCCTTAAAAAGGTAGGTCTTTTCGGCTACAGGTAGACCTAGTAGAACTTTTATAGAACCCCCAGGAGGCTCCTCCGGCATCAATCCTCGGCCCTTCGTCGGTGAAGATTGCTCCGGCGCGCCCTCCGAACGCGGGAGACTTGCCTGGACATGGGCTTACTTAGAGGATCAGGGGACTTGGTAAGTAGGGTCATGATATGTACGGTAACTACAGTTATACCTACTTGTAGCCCTATTTAAGTTATCTATAACCCTACTTGCCAAGTACCATGATCCAAGTATGGATCTTTTCGTCTAGTTGCTGAGTTCCGCCGCCCAAGACAGGTTGACCAGGACAGTCATGAAAAGGGTTACTTCGTATAGGTAACGGTTCAACAATACTGTTGAAAGATTTAGCGCTACAAGACGGATTTCGACCCTCCCATTCACACAAAACACACAAGCATTCACAACAAATCTGAGCAAGACGCATGTGACGCTACCAAGTGCCAATCTTCCAAGCACGCAACAGAGACGAACCAAGACAAACACCAAGCCAACGCAGATGCGTCCCCGGGACGATACGTCACTTCCGCTCAACTTGGAAACATCCTACAGTAGCTGACACGCGCTGTCGGAAGGCAAGTGGGACAGGGCCGCCTAGCGATCGGTCTGCGGGTTCATGTCTCCGAGATTTGGGGGATGGAGCTTAGGGCAAAGGGTTAACGGCACCAGGTAACACAAGTCAGGCCAAATACTGTAATTAATGGCGTCAGGAGCACCAGGTCTCACAGGTCTCACAATCCCGTGTAGTCTAGCAGTGACGAGTGTAGTGTAGGTTCTTTAATATCCTAAACCCTAAACTGCTATGAAGCCCTTTCCCCTCGTGCTTGCTTGGAATACCACCATGGTGTAGCCTGTCTGCGGGGCTGCTAAGAGTGTGGGGTTTGAGGGTTCCGGGCTTTTCGCCTCCCGCTTAGGAAGGGCTGGCCCACGTTGCAGGATGGTCTGGTTATGGAGAGAGCCTCATCACTTCGAGATGAGATTGCCGAAGGCTAGAGCTTCGCGCTTTAATCTACGCGTTTCAGGGTTGAAAGGCTCAGAACTTCAGGGCTTGCACGCTCAAAAACAAAACTTGAACTGCAGATTGCTCTCCTGTATGTAGTGGACCGAAGCCCGAATATGAACCCTACCTTGCATCCGATTTCGGTCTGCCGAACCCTTACGCGATTGAAACCCTGCAAACCTTCAGCTTTGAACCTTCAAACCCCCAAGCCCTTTACTCTTCAGCTCAACTTGTAAGGTTGGTCGTATGGAAACCAACACGGCCGTAAGAAGGATTTGGGATTCACCGGTTCGCAGTGTGGGTATGGGGGCAAAGTGTTACTATCCTCTAGAGCATCCAGAATTCAAGCTCCAAACATGCCTCCGGCGCGAGACTTTGCGGCTTGCTTGCCTGCAGAGGCTCTACCCAGAACCCAATTCCCCTTAATTAAGGAATATACCTGAAACCATAATATGAAGCGCCCTATAATTTAAGGTAGCTGCACTCCTTTACAAAGGGGTATGGGGATCTCTGACTAGGAGTACAGGTGAACGGACTATGCCTGAAGCCCAGAAGATTTAGGCTACCCGCTTAATGTTTCTGTAGGCCGACCTAGTGCAGTATAAATATGGGAGTACGCTACTTGCTAGCGAAACTCCCTCGACCCAGTGTGTTGGAGATGAAACTGCTCTGAACCTGTGAACACGAAACAACAGCCGAAACCGGGCCGAATCCCATCATGGAATCCCTACAAGAGCTCTTAAAGGAACCCCTTGACCCACTACAAGAACCAAACCGCAGAAGACCGGCGGACCTGTAATAGCAACCGCGTCGCTTGCACTACCCTCATGCAACACAACCAGCTAACTTTTACATATGCCCGTAGCCGTAGTCTTCCAAGAATCCTCTGTTAGGCATATTTTGGCGATTCGTGATGAGAGCATGTCTGCTTGTTCGAGTTTAGGCGTTCTATGCTGGGTAAAAGCCCTAGGAGCATTCCTTGACAAATAATCTTGGAGTTCAGGCGCCTAGGCTTAGGCTTAAGGGAAGAGCCGAGCTATGCACCGTCTAGGAAGCCGTGGTGAAGCTCAACCTTTTTGATTCCGGGCTTGGGAATGCGGCGGGGGAAAGTCAGTTTCAAAACCCAGCATCCGAACACCCTAAACGTTAAAGCCCGACAGTCTTGTTTCTCAGAAGAATTCAGAAACCGATACCCTCGCACGTCAAACCTCTGATTAGTGCAGCCCCCTCTATCTAGTAGCATTACGATGTAATATATCTACAAACGGCCGAAAATGTTGGGCCCTTCTACGTCTCTTGGCAGCCACCTTCATGCTTCCTTAAGTTACGGAAGGTTGGAGACCCTAATCCCTAATCCCCAAACCCTGACGTGTACCCAGAGCCTCCAAAACCCCTTAATTAAGGAATATACCTTAAATCATATAAGGGATCCTATTATAATTTAAGGTACATTCCTTAATTAAGGGGTTTTCGAGGCTCTGGGTAAGGTTCAGGGTTTAGGTTTAGGGTTTCGAGTGCAGAGGCTGTGACATCCGACATCCAGGCGGGCAAACACAAGTGCAAAAAGGGTTTAGAGTCCAGAGTTTGCAGGGTTTAGGTTTCCTCTCAACCCCAATTCTTCGTTCTTTGCATACCCCTTGATTCTCCTGAGAAACCCTGGAACTTTTGACGGCTGTAGGTAAGGCTTGGGTTTAGGCTCGCCTCCAGCTTCGTCGGCTGCTGCTCTTGAACTTTCGAGGAGCTGGCCTCCGGCACCTGCATCCAAAAACTCAGAGTACAAAACTCGCATCTCCGACCTTTTAGGGTTTAGGGTTGCGGGCTCCTTTTTGAACGAGCTCTCTCTGAAGTGCCTCCCGCAGTATGCTTTCGGGTAAACCCTTACCTTAGGCCTGAAAGTCAGCTTCAAAGGAGCTTATGGGAAATCTTCGTCGGGGTAATGTAGGAACCTGATGAAGAAACCCTGGGCCTATAACCCCAAAATAGTAGGATTATATAAGGAACCGTAGTTAGGGCCCAAGGTTTCTCAATCAGGTTCCTACATTACGAGTATCCTTCCGTCGACGAGGCTCGGGCAGGTCCTGAAGACTCGTCAAACCTCGCCTCCGACTCGAAACTCTGCAGACTAGAGGCTGAGCACAATAGCCCAACGTCATATAGGTGGTCATCAAAATTACGGTCCCTTCTGGGTCCCTGTTATCATACGGCACCTAGTCTTCAGGGTAGTCAAAAAGGGACCTTAATTTTGACAACGACCCTTAAAAAAAACAAAAAGGTTAAAGGTCCAATACTCAGCTACTAAGGCAGTGCAGCCTGAAGTTGAAAAATAAGCTGCTCGACTCTAGGGCTTATAGCCTCGCTTGATCGCACTGGTGCATAGCATCAGAAGGGTTTAAGGCTTTAGGGTTTTAAGGTTTAGGGTTTTAGGGTTTAGGGTTTTAAGGTTTAGGGTTTAGGGTTTTAGGGTTTACGGCTTTAGGGTTTTAGGGTTTAGGGTCTTAGGGTTCAGGGTTTAGACCATCAGAATGTGTGAGTGCGACAAAACCGAGGCTGACGCACTATTCATGACGAATTGAAAAGGACCTAACGGATCGCACAAGTCGTAGGTACGCCGCTAGTCGCAACCATGTAGTCAATGTACAGTAGTCTTGCCTGCACAACAGAGCGAACAAATGTCAAAAATAAAACACCCCAACCCCAAACCCCTCGACTCGAAGCCCTAACACACCAAATTAAAGCCCTTAACCCTGAATCCTAAATCTGCAACCTGAACTGTCAGTCAAACACTAGTAGTAGAAACCCTCACCCGCAATTCTAAACCCTAAACCCTGAAACCCAAAAACCCACAACCCTAAAACCCTAAGACCCTAAACCCTAAAACCCTGAAGCCTTAAATCCTAAAGCCCTAAGTTATTAAGATTGTAAGCCCTAAAACAAACCCTAGAACCTTAAATCCCCAGAACCCTAGACCCGGCATCGTGAGTCATCGAGGCCTCCGGAGCTCCTCCTGCGCCATCTGCTTCCGGTGCAGCTGCAGGCTCCTTTCGCAGGATGGGTTGAGGGTTAAGGTTTCGGGGCTTAGGGTTTAGGATTTAGGAGTTAGCATTCGGGTTTCAGGGTTTAGCCTTCGGGGCTTAAGGTTTAGGGTTCAGGGTTTAGGGCGTGGGCTTGAGTGTTCAGGGTTTCGGCGCTCACACTCGGACAATCCAGGCGAGGCATGTGGTTCGAAGTCTGCCGAGTGAAACTAATGCCGAGGCAATATCTGAAGGCAAGCACGTCAACAAAAGCACCCCCCTCTCAGAATCCAATACTGCTTCAAGGGAACACTGGCTATCACGCCTATTCCAAATTTGGATTCTGAAGACTACAATCGGCAGACCGCAGTCTTTCAGGGGACAGGTGTCAGTTACGGGACCAGGATGATGAAGTCAAATTTTAATGACCGGGGTGGTCGAAGTAAACAGTGCGTTCTGTGAGTGGAAAACAGTGCGAATTTCCACCCTACACGAACAGTTCTTCTTTTATCAGGCTCATTCTTGGCCTTTCGTAGGTAGAGTAATCGGATGATCGCCCAAACGAATCTATCTTTGATGCTCAGTCCATTCTCGAGCAGAAGTTCTTGCCCGATGTGGCCCCTGACACCTGTAGATTCCATCGTTAAGCTGGCCAGTTTGAAGACCCTTGCTACCCCGCCATTGGGATCAATTGGGCACTCCTTGAGAAACTCCCTCCAAGCATCAACCTCCTGTTGGCTCAACACGTCCCGCTTTGATCCACGAGCCATGACGGTAAAAGTAAAATGGCGTCACGGTCCAAGCCATCAATGTCCTTATCATTCCTCTGGATGATCTCCACTTCATTGCCAACCAGAAGCCGAAGACAGACTTGCATCCAGAATTTGGCGGTTTCGAACAGACGATTGCACGACGGCTTTCTTGGTTGGCATCTTCAACAGATGGCCTTTGAAACGTTAGCCAAGACAGACGTTCTCTGCAGCGGGTTGTATCTGCAACGGACATCATGGAACCGGGTATTTCTTCGGGCTAGTGTGGCCCAGCCGGGTTGTCTGTCAGACCACCGCGACCTATTCCGTACAAAGCTGTAGTTCCCTCCTTCTGTCCAAATTTGACCTGTTGTTCTCTGGCGAGGGACAATACCGCCTTGTTGTAGCAGACTTCTGGGCAGAAGAGCATTCGCCCGCATAGCGCTGCTTATCTGGGATCCACTACGGACAGATGCTTGATGGGTATGAATACTACGACTGCCTCTCTTGGTTTCTGCTGCTTGGTGAACCGGACGGTGGTTTTTGTATCACGCTTGTCTGAGACAATCTCGACAGCAAGCCCGCCTCTCTTAGCCCAGCCCTCGGCAACCCTTGGCTGCTCATGGAGCTGCTTAGTGCAGAGACGGGAAAGCTCTGCGGCTAGTTTGATGCTGGGCATGTCATCTATCGTCTGCTTTCCATGCAAGACAAGTTGAAAATCTGGTTCCATGGTCTTCTGTCCATCCTGGCTCGCTTTCACACTCCGCTTCTCTATGGCGATAGTCCCATAGGAGTTCATGTCTGTTCGCGGGTCAAAGGGAGGTGGTTCCTGGACCACATTGATGTATGACCCCTCACTCCTGCATCCATAAGCTCTTCGACAAGAGATGGAAGGCTGACCCCTAAATACCACTCAACAACAGATCCAGGACCAAGATCATCTATGTCCCATCGAGATGGAGACACTTCATCACTTCGGGAAATACGTTGGTTCTTGGCTGAGAGAACGAGCCTTCCCGTAGCAAATCTCACTGTCGGGCCGAACGTCCACCAGCTGCACACTACGCAGAAAGTGCCCACCGAAGTGAGGACCACTGGTCGTTGAAGAAGTTCGTGCCGAGCTAGATGACACGGTAAGTCCTTTCCTGGAGGTCTTCCATCGCGAAGCTTCAGCGTGATCTCTACAAGGATTCGAGGTCGACATGGCTCTGCCTTCGGCCTGAGCGATGTCTGGACAATCACCAATCCTGGCATGACCATCACGACCTTTTCCGTCCATTGGGTTGCTTTGCCCTTTGGTTCGAAGACTTCACCTTTGATTGCATCGACCCACACTTTGGTGGTCATCGCCAATTCTTGAAATTTCTTTGAGCTTTGCAGGCCGATACGAGATGTCAAACTCAGTGCACCCCAAGACCATTCCTGGCGCCAAACCGGCTTGAGTTGCCGATCCACCAAGAACGGTGAAATCAGGCACCGGGGTCTGAATGAGCTCCGAGGCAAATTCACCAACATCCTGATCATCAGGTGCCGCTATCCTGAGCATTTGGTGTTCGCCATCCAGCAAAACCGAGTGGAAGGCCACCTACCCAGTCAGCGGATTGAACAAAGTCCGAACCAAGACTTGCCTCCAAACAGCCGCGCTTTGACAGGGCGAGCTTCTGAATTCCTAAAGCAGCCAATGTTCCGGACTTCAAAATCACGGAAGACTGACGGCCACTCCAGGTGGTTGGACCGACCAGCACAACACGTTTGTCAGCGGAACTGAAGGCGACTCCTTCCTCACGGAAGTATCTTCGTCGGTCTTCAGATCCAGACGGGCCGCCTATTTGCTCATCAAGCTCTTCTTCATAGACTGAGGCTTTGCTAGGGATGAGATCACTCTCAGTCTCTATGAGATCGTCTTCGGTGTGAGCGGATTCTTCGCCCTCGTCGAAGCTCTCTTCATCGGCAGACTTTCTGCCCTGAGGGGCAAGCTCCGCAAAGCTTTCAGGAGCCGAAACAACTGACACATCAGAACGAACGTCTTCCTCCATCACCTACTTCACAAGCGCCCGAAGGCGAAGCCGCTATCAGCGGAGAGTCTTCAAGACGGCGAAAGATGACTTTGCGTACATTCTTGAGCCAACATGGCTACGGTGTTCAGGGTTTAGGGCTTAGGAATCTGGGTGCTTGCAACCCGGCAAGTGTTTGCTATACGCTGTTCGGGTCTGACGTGCCGTGGGATGTTGTGGTGAGCCTCCCAGAGAGCCCAATACCCCTTAATTAAAAAAATATGGCTTAAACCATAATATGATGCCCTGTCTTAATTTAAGCCATATTCCTTAATTAAGGAGTGTTGGGCTCTCTGGGCTGCGCCTTCGACCTGAAACCCTCACCGCAAGGCCTGAGCTGCTGAACCTCGGATCGAGAGTCCAAGAGCGTAAGCTCCGTCCAAGTTGGAGTTTCCGAAAATAGGGGACCCTGATATAGCACCCGAAATAATAGGATCCTTATTATAAAGACCCCAAGATAAGGTACCCCCAATTTTCGGAAACTCCCAAGTTACCTTACACAGTGAAAGGGTTCATTGCCTATTGCTGCCGCTTGAAACTTCTGGAATCAGAGAAAATGCGTAACACAAAAAAAAATTCAACGTGCCCGTCCATGTTTAGGATCCGGGGCCTGAGATGCTAAGAATCGTAGTTTTTTTTGCCTCCCGCCTAGAATCGTAGTTGGGACCCTCGGTATCTAGCCCGTGTTAAAGCGATGTTGGAAACTGTGTCTCCAAAACGTGCTAGTTCGTTTAGCAACCTTATCGGACCCTAAAGCCCTAACAATCCCTAAACCCTAAAAATCCCTAATTAAACCCCTAAACCCGAAACCCTAAAAATCGCGAAACCCCAAACCCGAAACCCGAAAAAGCCCTAAACCCTAAAAATCCCTAAACCCTAATCCCTAAACCCTATAATCCCGAAACCCTAAAACCCCCCGAAACTCTGCGGAGAGAGCCGCTCCTTCTTGGGCTCCTCGACCACCAGTGCTTTGGCCGCTGCTGCAAAGAGCTGCCTCTGCACCTCCTCCCGTAACCTCGGCTTTTGGCTTAGGGTTCATGGGTTTGGGGTTTTAGGGTTTGGGGTTTTAGGGTTTAGGGTTTAGGGCTTCATGGTTTTCGACGCTCACACTCGCACAAGGCAGGCAAGGCAATAGTTGGAATCAGGCCGCTTGATGTGAGTAGTGGAGATACTGTGGCTTCATGGTTTTAGGGCTTAGGGTTTAGGGTGGTTTTTTCACTCCCCCCCAATAAGAAACATGGAAACAAAAGGTTAAACTTTTCGATTCCTAGTAAACTACAAGAACCCAAAAACATAAAGGTTGGGTATTGGGGATCTATGTTTTTGGTTTCGGGATTATCGGTTCATTGGTTTCGGTAGTTCTGGTCCTAAACCCTAAACCGTTTAGGGATTCAAGGCTGTAGGTGATTGAAGCAGGGTTTAAGCTTGGGGGTGCAGGGTCGTTTCGGTTTAGGAGTTTGGCCATAACTTTGAGGGCATAGGGTGAGGGCAAAAGCTACCTGACCTGTAGGTTGTACGTAAGGCTAGGAATATCCTACTTTTCAATTCCTGCAGCCTCAGCTGTCAGGTTTGCTTTGGGATGGAGGGCTAGGCGCGTTTAGGGTTGAGGGTTCCTCATTAATTGCAACGCAAGAAGGCCAACAAGAAACCCTGAGCCGTGCAAGCACTGGCCTGCACAACTAAGCCTCAGCCGTACATCCGTAAAACAGACCTGCGCCTGGCATGCTTGCACAAACTTACAGTGCGAATGTCGGCTGCTACATCCTTGACAAATAAAGCTATGCCCTGGCCTCCTTGTGCAAAGTCACAATAAGATTTTCTACTGGGAAGTCATTTCGACAAGCCCTTACCCAGACTAGCCATCAGTTCAGATTGCGCAGATGAGTCATCCGACAACATGTCTTGCCTAAGGGCGGGACAGCAATGATACGTTGTCCATCTCCCGTGAATCGCTGGGTTTGTGCTGGAGCATGTTTCTAGCATCTGTCTGCTGCTGTGGTAAGACCGACCAGTGAATTTTCAGGGCATTTCCCTATCGGCCAAGAACCCGACGTTCGAACATCGGAATTCCGTTACGGCAACTGCCACAACCAAGACTGTCAGACTCGACAGCGAACGGCGAACACCCTGGAATCCGCGGTAGCTTCCAGCCAGCGCGAACAACAAGGTAGCATGAGAATCCAAGGGACAAGCTTCCACGGCCTAAGCTGCATGTAGGCGATCCGAGGAAGCTGAAACTGACACGTCGGAGAGGCACTTTAACTCGAGCTTGCTCACCCCTGTACTGCAGCTTCGGGTGGAAGGTAAGTGCTACCAGCACGAAGTCCTCCACTGAATAACTATGAATGGGCACCCCAAACTCAACCTCTTCCAAACCTCATTGAAAGGATTATGGCACGCACCCGAACACGACCCTGGACGGAGCCAATCTACCTGTTCTACGCAACGTCGTCAGCTTTCTGCTCCGCTACAGTACCGTACTGCGCCTCATCGTCGAATTGTGTGAGGAATGCACAACTCGAGGCTGCCCTCCTACACCACGACACAAACCGGATTTTAGAGTGAAGGGTCCAGCTATGCAGCACTTGTTGAACCCTACCCGACATTCTTCGTTTCCCACAAGTAAAGCAAAAAGCTGCAGGGGCTTTGGACAGCTTCTTACCATTTACACCAGTACAGCCTGCCGCCGTGATGCAGACCCCTTCTGGAGGTAGCACTTCCAACACATCTGCATCGGGATCGTCTTCCTCCTCAGGCTGTTTGAACCCTAACTCCCAAACCCTAAACCAAAAATGACAAAGGGACCCTACCTTCCAGGTAAAAACGCCCAGCCACAAAGATCCTCCAAAAATCTCTGTCGTAGAGATCCTGATGTTGATCTGGTATTTTGAGCCCCTTTCTGACACTCCATAGACATCTTAGGGTTTCGGTCTAGGGTAATAGGTCGTGGGTGTTGAAATCATTCAAAGCCCAGCAGCTGCAGGGAAGGGATTCCAAAGCACGACAGCTAGCAAGATCCGAAGGCCTGAACCCTGAAGCCCTAGCCTACGAACATTGCAGAATATCTCCTTTCGGAGCCCCCTCACATCATTGAAGGGAACTGAAGCCTAAACCAAAAACAAAGTGGCAGGGACCAGGGCCCAAGGCTCACCAACACGTCTTTTAACACTCCGCCCCCCCCCATGATCAGAAGATCAAGTCCCCCAAATCCTATAACCTCACACTGCTGCTCCTATATCCTTTGCCCTCTCCCCAACCCAGAGAGCCCAATACCCCTTAATTAAGGAATATGGCTTACTTGTACTTCACTTTTGTAGGGCTTCGTATTATGGTTTAAGCCATATTCCTTAACTAAGGGGTATTGGGCTCTCTGGGAATAACCTAAATGCGAAAACTATCAAAAGCTGCTGCTCCTATATCCTTTAGCCCTCAAGCCTGAATGGCCGGGCTTGGCATCTTTCAACGATGTGTGTGGTCTTAGGTTCTTCTGAAGCCCCTTCCAGTTCACCATCTCATAAACAGTCGAGAACCATGCCCCTGACCCTTGAACCTGTTCATCAAAGTTGCAGGGGCATACAGGTCAAAGGACAAGCGCGGAGCCAACGCTGCTTCCTTCGCGGGCCGAGGAGGTAGGGCCAGAGAGGGACAGAGATAGAGAGAGCTAGACATAGAGACTGATGCAGACCGAGACTAGACAGAGAGACAGAGAGGAGAGGGACAGAGAGAAAGAGACAGGAAGAGTGGACGCTCAAATACGCTCAAATCCAAAAGTTGGAGTTCAGGGCTTCGGGGTTTAGCGTGAAGAGATCTTGTTGTGGGATCTGCAAGGGCAGTTTTTCAGGTGTCTTCCTGAAAGTCCTGAGCACTCCGATTAATTACAGACGTTCCCAGAGAGAACAATACCCCTTAATTAAGGAATATGGCCTAAATTATATAGGGCTTCATATTATGATTTAAACTATATTCCTCAATTAAGGGGTATTGAGCTTTCTGGGTTCTTGTTCGATCACGCATATACAACCTATACTTGTATCTGAACCCACAAGCAGGTAGAGTATAGACATGTACCGATCAGATTTCAGGCCCTTTGAATTGGAGATCCTCATCATATGGACTCCAGTAGGGATGGATTCCAAGTTCCAAGTTTCAGGTCTGGCCTGGATCTGCCATATCGAGGCATCCAAGAAAAGAAGAGCCGACGTCGCTCTTATCGGGCTTCCGTCCCTAAGCCTTAAAGCCTGAAACCCTACAAGTCTTCCAGGCCTCGAAACCGAAACTCTGAAACCCTGCAGACCCTACACCAGTAAAGAACCGCTCGCACACGCAAAACAAGCGTAAAACCCTGAAAGGAACCCCAAAAGATACCCTTGAAGTAACTAAGGAACCCGAAACGAAATCCTTTAGAACCTGCAAAGCAGACAGTCCAAAGCAGAAAGGAAGTCAAATGCCATCCTGCCCCTGCACCCTGAAGCTTCAACCTTGACCCTCGGTTCTCCAGTTACCCCACAATAAGAAGGGTGCCCTTTGTCCGGTTATTCAGTAACAAGGGAACCCGAAAACAATGAAAGCCAAAGGGTACTACTGCGGAACCCTAAACCCCAAACCCCTAAACCCCAAACCTCCATCCCTCTCTCTCTCTCTCTCTCTCTCTCTCTCTCTCTCTCTCTCTCTCTCTCTCTCTCTCTCTCTCTCCCAGGCATTCGAAACCCCCTAAGCCCTAAACCCTAAACCGGCGGTCCTTGACTTTCTTGATGTCGACGGAGGCTGAGGAGGCCTGCAATCGCCGCGCTTCGGACTTCCTCGATGGATTCTTCCCCACCCGCGCAGTTGACAACGTGGGATTTAGGGCTAAGGTCTTGGGGTTTATGGAAAGTCAAACTCTTTAAACCTTCTGCTTTCAGGTTTACGGGCTTTAGACTTTAGAACTTGCAAATGCTATTCTCATTATTTAAGCCCCCTACAGCTCAAAAAGCCCAGGAGCTTCATCGATTCGCGCAGCTGCTCCCGCAGCTTCTGGAGCAGCGACTCCTGCATCACCAAGGGTGAAAAGCCGGAAAAGCAGAACATCGCACTCACAATGGCCCTAAACCCTGAACTCTACGGTTTAGGGTTTAGGGTTCACAATCTAGCACGACCCTAGCACTCCAGTACCCAAGAGTAAGTTACTAACCCTTTGTTACGTGCCCCAGTTAACCATTTCTAGGTACCTGCAGCTCTTGCACAAGCAATCTCGTACCGTTATATGAATTACCAAGTTGGACGCCATACGCCCGAGAATGCTGCAGTCTCTTCTTCTTCACAGGACTGGACCACTTAGACTGACTCTCGTACCAGTGCTAGCAATCGTATTTGTATGAGTACCCGTACCTGGAGCAGCAGCAGCCGCAGCAATCAATCAATGTCAATGCAGGTGCTCATGCTTGTTATAGCCCTCGCTAGCACATATGTGTATATGTCAGTGTATGTACAAATACAACCGGATACATACATACACATACACGCACGATATGTATATACACACACACTATAAACAAAAAACAACTAGGCACGGCAATAGCTTTCATGCCCCAAGGTATGCTGGGAGACCATGCTATCAACCAGCAGGTGGCCTGTGACACCACGCAGGTGCCATGCCCCAAGCGGTGCACCCCATCACAAAATTACTAATGTTATTATCACGATTATTAAAACCTCTTACTCTTGTTAATATTACTGCGATTATGATTGTTATTACTACTACCACTCAAAATATCATCAGTATTGTTGTTAGTATTATTATTGCTTTTCTTATTCTTCTTATTCTGCACCTGCTCCACCGCGCGTTGAAGCTCCGAGTCTTCCGAATCCTGTGTTTCGGGATTGTGCTGGGGGGCCTTTGGTCCCTGGTGTTGGGTTTAGGGTTTAGGGTTCAGTTAGGGCTGAGGGTTTAGGGTTGATCCATGGCTTAGGGTTTCGGGATTAGGGTGTAGGGTTTAGGGTTTAGGGATTAGGGTTTAGGGTATAGGCTAGGGTTTAGGGATTAGGTATAGGGTTCAGGTTCAGGATTAGGGTTTGTGTCAATGCGCCCAGGTAAACACTCAGACTTCCCTTCTGGATTCTTTCAACTGCTGATATGGCCACTGCTTGGACCACCTTTATATACCCAAAGTTACTGAGCTTAGAATGGGCGTCGAAACACGACCCCATAGATACTTTTAGGGCCTAAATGTGACCCCTAAACAGTGGAGAAGTAGCCAAACGCAAAGGATTTAGGGCTATGAGTGCTCGTCTCGAAACGAAAAGTCAGGAAACTCACTGAGTCATGAGATCATTCATTCGATCTGTTCGGCTTGCGCCTGGCCTACCTAGTTCTCATGTGCCCATCATCCGACTGAATGCATCATGCCCATCCCAAAGCATCGAGTTCGTTCGCCTCCGACCTGCAAGTGTCCAAGATTACATAAGCCGCGACTTTGCAAGACACTGCAAAGCTACCCGCAAGCTGCCTCGTCCTCACTGAAGAGCGCGCCATCGGGCTTTCTTCGTGGCGCCTGCGGGTGCACAATCTCGGGATCAGCTTGGAGGGTAACGGGGTCGAATTGAGGAGCTCGATTGCAAAACAGCTTGGTGAACGCTTTCTATAGGGGGTGCCTCGCAGTAAAGCTATAGAGGGACTATAGTGGGTGAGGCAATTGTGCTCTGACGAAACCACTCTTCAGAGCCGTACATTAGAGTTTCCCAGAGAGCCCAATACCCTTAATCAAGGAATATAGCTTAAACCATAATATGAAGCCTTGTATACGATTTAAGCAGCAATATTCCTTAATTAAGGGGTATTGGGCTCTCTGGATCTAGGGTTGAGGGCCCCATGAGCCTTGGTCGCCTTCTTCTTCTGCGGCCATTTGATCTCCTGCAAAGGAACCAGCGTCGTCAACTTGGCCTTCTTCCTGCAAACAGGCAAAGAAATGATAATAATACTCCTAATCGTAACTATACTGATAACAATAATCATAATTATCATGGTACTTAACACAGTAATGGTAGTAATAATGCAGTCATGGCACGAATAAATGAGTCTATGATCAGAATCATAATCAGTCAGAATGGTTATAAAAAGAAACGTAAACATAACATGAACCTTATGATAAGGACATGTCCGGGCATGTTGGGGCTTTTAGCTCTTGAACGGTCTTCCAGGGTCTAGGATTTAGGGCTTCTTCACATTAGGGGACCCCTTTAGAGGCCCAAGTACCAGCTGTAGTATGAAACTCTTAAACAATTCAGAACTCAACTTGTCGTCTGGCCTGTCGAAAGACAAAAAAGCCCTACCCACGCCGTCGACTGCATCTCCATTTTGGGGCAGTTTGTGCTAGGGATCTATTGAATCTCGAAAGGCATAAGGGACAATGACCTCACGAGCTGAGCCGTGGATGAAAACTTTCTGCTCCCAATACCCCCCCCCCTCGAACCAACATGCAGCAGTCGAAAACTCGGAAACCCTGAGCCCTTTTGCATCCAGGCCTGTTCGAACTAGCCCTAAACCTCAAGCCCAAGACTCCGAAACCCTGAACCGCGCTCTTTGAGCCATCCGAAAATCCCCCTGCATAGATAGCCACGTCCAGTCTGATAGCACCCTCCTACAATCGCCTGGAGCTTCGGGCTTTCGAGGCATACCCTACAGTCTCGCGTTTGGGGAGCCCTTCTGAATCCTACTTACCTAGCCCAACACCGAAACATCCTGAAACCCCGAGGTGGCTCATGCTTGAACTCCCAAACCCTACCCGCTTGCGTACACGACATCCAGAGTCCTGTGAGTATATAGGTTTTGCCGTTTAAGCTGTTGGGGGGGGGTCGGCCTCCGCGTTTAGGGTTTAAGCTGTCCTGAACCCTCAACCCAACCCGAAATCCTGGCTTGGAGTTGCCCAAAGCTGCTGCACGGGGTCTCCTGGCAGGACCTTTGCCCAGCACCACTAAGCGCCCTCTCTTCAACCTCGTCTGCGGTGTAGGGTTTAGGGTTCAGAGTGTAGGTTTCAGGATTTACAACTGCTGGGTCCAGGGCTTTCGGATTGTTCGCCATGCGACTTTCAACGTTGGTGCAGGTTCGAGAGAAAGAAACAAAGACAGCGTCAATAAAAGTTGAATTTCAGGAGCCGTGGTGGCATGTAATGCAGCTGACCGAAGAAAAGCACTTACAAAGACTAGTCACTAGTCCGACAACAACATGTCATCACCAGCGCCACCAACAGCAACAACAGCAACAGGACAACAAAAACAGAACATGAATCGCGATCAGAAGCAACCAATGCCCAAGACAAACTACAGCACAGAATGATTTGGAACAGACGGCAACAAGAAAAATGGACACACGTCGGGCAATTCCATTTCGAAGCAACAACGAAGAGACGTCATCCCAAACACAGTCGGACAGCGCAAGCAATTTGGAAGTGCCGTTTGTGCTGGAGGCTCCAAACCCCTCAACTCCAGAATATTCTTCGACTCGTATAGGGGGTCCTTACACGAAACATCCGTCTTCGACATGGAAACTATGTGATGCTCCTTGGGAAAGTGTACATCACAACTAGAGTCTTAACTAGAGACTTCGGGCAAGGGCCAATGGCCAAGGCAGCAGGCAGGTAAGAATAGGCATCGGGATCTCATGAACATGGAAGCAAGTGCAGCTACGAGTGTTGCTACCTCGCTTCACCCTTTCAACCCCTCCGTTCGGGCAAGGCGCTGCGAATCATCGATCAATTCCAAGGCCAGCGCCTGTCGCGCTAGCCATCCAACCTGGATCGAAGTAGTGGGTTGTTAGGTTCACGGCGGCAGCATTGCAGGCATTGATTTAAGGTTCCACGGATGTTGCATTATATATATATATACACATATGTATAGATATACACATAGTATATAATCTGTATATATATATATATGTGTACATACATATATATATATATATGGGGTCTAGGGTTTAAGCTGAGGGTTGCAGACGAATGATGAACCTGGAACCAACATTTGGGGACTCCGAAGCAAACCGCCAACTGTGTAAAGGTGTCCTTAGGCTACGGCACCGTACCTATCCTCAGTCCCACAAGCTTTGGTTCACAGTTTACGGCTGTGAGTATTTAAGAAAATGGTTCCATCTTGAGCGCCGTTTCGGATACCAGGTTGTCTGGTTTTCAGAGTGTCTGCCGGCTTCACAGTCCAGCAAAAAGCATTGCCCCTAACCCTGAACCCCAGTCCCAAAACCCAAAGCCATGCACCCTCCCTGAAGGCTTACGCTTTAAACTCCGCTAGTGTTGTATCTTGGGGAGGGCTTCTTAAGTCCATAGGGTTTCAGGGCTTTGAGTGTGGGGTTCAGCTTTGGAGACTTACGATTCTGGGGCTGAAGAGGATTTAGGGTTCTTCTAGGGTTCTACGGCTTAGGGTTCTGCATTCCAGGGTTTAGGGCTGAAGAGGTCTGCACAAGAGTCAGAGCAAGAGCAGCAAGTCGCAGAGTATACTCATTCAAATCAAGAACCCTAAACCCCAAAAAGCTTTAAACCACAAAAAGCTCTAAACCCCTAAACCCCTAAAAGCCCTAAACCCTTAAACCCCAAAAAGCCCTAAACCCCAAAAAGCCCTAAACCCCTAAACCCCTAAAACCAAAAAAGCCCTAAACCCCTAAACCCCAAAAGCCCTAAACCCCAAAAAGCCCTCAACCCCTAAACCCTAAACCCCCAAAAGCCCTAAACCCCTAAAAGCCCTAAACCCCAAAAAGCCCTAAACCCCTAAACCCCCAAAACCCAAAAAGCCCTAAAGCCCTAAACCCTAAACCCGAAGGAATGTAGGGGAGAGGATTTTTCGGCTCAGAGGTCCCCGGAACTGAACCCCCAGAGACTCCAATATCCCTTAATTAAGGAATATGGCTTAAATTATAGTAAGATTCCTAATACGATTTAAGGAATATTCCTTAATTAAGGGATATTGGAGTCTCTGGGCCGATTACAAGGGTACGAGGCAACCAGGGTCGCAGTCACCCTGAACCCTAAACCCTTTAGAGTGAACCCTAAACCGTGAACCCTAAACTGCCTAAGATGGGAGCCTTAATTAATTAGAATAGGGTTCCTTTAAAGGGGTCTATATAAGGGCTACTATAAGGGATCTATAAAGGTTCTATAATATAGGGGTCTTAACAATTAGAATCGGGCTTTGGGGCCCATTATACAATGTAAGAAGGACCCCCCTCCAAATAGAAAATGTATGTTATTGGTAGGAATTTCAGGCCCTGTATTAGATAGTTGGCCAAGCTGCACACTTAGGCTTAGGGCCTCAATAACCAGGAAACTGTTAAAAGCTGGTTTCACCGCGCCTGCCGTGCCTCAGAGCTCGAAGAGCCCTGCGCGAGAAGCTGCTTGTGCGCTCCGAGGAGTAAAGGCAGGTTCACCTGTGGGGCTTAGGCTTTCGGAGGGTTTAGGGCTTAGGGTGCTTGGTAGGATTCTCTCTAAATTGCACTGACTCTTTCTCCACTTGCCTAATTAGTAGGATTTAGGATTGAAGATTGCGCATACTCTACTTCCCTTCTAGTACTTTGCGGTACCATACACTCGCAAGTCCTCGTGCACCAGAAGTTCTCGAACCCGAGCCCAAAACCCAAGCCTTCTGAATGCCAAAGCCTGCAAAGCAAGAAAACGAACACTAGAATAGGGTATAGGGTTTAATTAGGGTCCAGAACGTCGCCTCTGAACGTTCAACCCGGCAGCGCAGGTCAAAGTAGAAGCCAGCCTTCTTTATTCTGCTCTTCAAACCTCAACAGTTAGACACAGAGAGCCCAAAACCCCTTAATTAAGGAATATAGCTTACTTAAATCAGGATATGAAGCCCTATATAATTCAAGCCATATTCCTTAGTCAAGGGGTATTTGGCTCTCTAGGGACCCGTGACTGAGGTTCTACCACGCCTTCCCGGCCGGATCGAAGATGGGATATCCAGCTAGCCGGCACCTTGAAAGAGAGCGGAAGCCTGTCTCGGTTCAGGGTTTGAGGTTTAGAGTTTAGGGTTTAGGGTAGGGTTTTTTTAAGGGTTTAAGGCAGTTGTGCGTCGATGTTGCGCGTTGGAGATTTAAGTTTCGAAGTGTTTTGGCATTCAGCTTGATGCTACAATGTCCATTCTGCCTGAAGTTGATCAATCTTGACGCTGCGCAGAAAGGCCTGAACGGGCCATACTTCAAGAATACGGAGATTGGGAATTATGCCATTCATGAAGCTCTCAGTACTCTCGTAAAGATTCGTCTGCTTACTCAGCCCGCTGATCCTTAAAGTAGCCCCGTGAACTCGCAACTCCTTTATCGACATGCTTCATAAACCGCTGGGTTTCATTTCCAAAACAAAGGTGAAAGGCAAATGGTTGAAACCTTAATCTCTGCAACCTGACCTGACCCTGGGCCCTACAGCACGATACCGTGGAAGCCAAACACAAAAACCGTTTCTTAGATCTGGCGCCTTGTTTCAATTTAGCGCCTCAGGGTGTAGGGATATAGGCTTATGTCACGGGCTCCAACGTGTGTAGAGATTCTTTCACCCTTTTGCAACAGCCCCTTCGACTTCGCCCGGAAGTTGGACCCTGGAAGCCCTTCACAGCCTGTACGGTGGAGCCAGGGTCAGCATCGGCCGACTTACGGCATCAGAACCTATGCTGAACTAATTGTTGCATCAACTATCACAACCCTAAGCCCCAAACCCTCAACCCGCTTGAAACGAGGTCTCTCACACCCTCAACTCCTGAACCCGAAGCTAAATTGGCCAGGGATGCTTGGCAGGCAGTGCTCGGATCCTCGCGCCATCGAGGAAAGCAAGGCTAAAGGCAGCACTCGGCCTGTCAGGTAAGGGAGGCTGATAATGCAGGGGCCCTAGAAATTAGAATAGGGTTTGGGGTATATCATACCATAGTTATACTATTATATTACGGAACCCACAAAACCCTATTCTAATTTTTACGGCCCCCACATTACCACAAGCCCCTTAGACCCAGATGACATTAGTACGGGTGATAACGCCTGGGGGTTTACTGTACAATACTAATGATACTGGTGAAAGATATATGTGGGAAGACTCCCCCTTCACACCCCAAATAGAGGTTGAGGGCACTTCGTCAGTAGGCTCACAAGTACCGTAATCAGGTAAGTACGCAAATACCTTTATCGTCACCTGTGTACTACTAGTCCATAAATGACCGTCCGCCTTATCGGATTCCGCCTTCCAGGTCTAGAGTCTACATAGGGTTAGCAGTTCTATTCGGGAATTTTCCTGCAAGCCTGCAGTCCAAAACACCCTTCGCGCCACCGCAAGCCTGCACTACAACGTCAACTAGTTTGAACACAGAGTAAACCCCACTGAACCGTAAACCTGGCCTTGTGTCCGCCCATCTCCCGGCGAGGTCATCACGCCACGTGGACACCTGTCCACTTTGGAGCTTTGCGGGTTCAGGGTTACCCTGAATTCGTCATTGGGGTTTAGGATATTGTTTTCGTTTCACCCGCAACCATAAACATAAGCCGGGCGTAACCTCTCCGGTGGTTGAACTATTAAGTTTTTTTCAGTTCGCAGCGCGCGCACTTTGCCAGTTGAGAGGAGTCTAAGTAAAGAGGACGCTTTTGGAAGTGTTGGAACCCACCGGCCTTCCTACTTTCCAACCTTCCCACCTTCTTACCTTCCTACCAGACTAGCAGCCTTCCAACCTACAGACTTACCTACAAACCTACCTCAAACCCAAACCCAACAGTCTTCTTTTGTGCAAGCCAAAGGAAACCACCGAGCTCAAGCGTCGCTTTCGGCAGAACCGTCTTTTTCAAGACGGTTCTTCTGTACAGTGCCGTCCACAGACTTAAAGTGAGCAAGTGAAGCCCAAGACAAGGAACCGGGAGATTCCCGCTCCACTTGTCGTAGCTTGTCAAACACACTGTACAAGTTGTGTCCGCCAAACCAAACCTTAAATTTGTAAAGACGAACAGCTTGGTGCATGAGTACTTCCATGCGGCTGGCGCTTTCCGACCCTTACCTGCGTCTTTACGAAAACCGGCAAAGAACCCATCAAGTTTCTGAGGGTTCCGCCCCAACGAGTTTCCTCAACAAAAGCTTCTCCGTTCCAAACGCGGGTAGAGATACGCTTGGTGAATTCTGGATGAGGATGCTTGTGCTTTACGCAGGTGTGGCCCAGCTTCAAGGCCTCAAAATCCAGCAAACTGCTATTGTACAGAGGACTTGCCAAATTTCGGTATGCCTTGGCTCCGTCAGTGTGACAACGGAGCCTACAGCAAGAATGGACTCGTCAGCAAAAACAAAGCCTCACGCAAGGATATCGGACCTCCACCACCCTGTCCTACAGAAGAAATCCTGTAAGGCAGAGGTTCTTCAATCCACACCATGGCAGATCCACGTCGAACCACGGCAAGATACCGGAGCCAAACAATGCCGTGGCCACGTCCAACAGAGCGAAAGCTGATTCCATCCAGTTCGACATCCTGTCCCAGGCCTCCAACTGTGAGAGATCCGTTGAGCTTGTCAATAGGAAGCACATAGAACTCGGCGAACTTTTGAAAGAGGTAGCGGATGACACGGTGATCAACACCAAGCGAAAAACTTGATTTGTCAGGCGAAAGGTGCAGATTCGAGCAGAAAACCCAGAGAATGCCAGCCATTGCGGGAATTGAAAGCTTGGCATCGAAGAGATCTTGGTCTCTCGAAAAGACACCCATGGTCTTCCGGCAGCCTTTACAGCGCCAACGACACTTGTCTTCGGTCTCTTCAAGCTTCAAGGAAGACTCTGACAGGTCCTTGCACTCGCACCCACCTGGAGCTGGATTTCCTGGCAAGAAGCCAAAGTTCACCAAAAAGGACACTAATCGACGTGGAGGGGACACGACCTCGCTTTCTGCCGGGGCTCGTCTGTCTGGGGTCTGTGTAGGGCCGGGCCTGAAGGCCTACTTCACGACGAAGGCTCCTCAGGCACCGTGGGTGACTCCAGAACCTCCAAGACCTCTGGAGCTTCTGCTTCGCTGGCAATCTCTTCTGCCCGGGCACCCGGCGTTCGCCGCCTCGAGCGATGCTGCAGGTTCTGGCCGGCTCTCATGCGGCGATCACGCCCGGCGGTTCCCGTTGTGATCCGACCACTAGACCACCTTGCTGCAAGGGCAGAGGAAGCTGCCGTTCTCGCCATGGTTCAGAACCGGAAAAACTTGAGAGGAAACTGCGATGCGAAGACTGATACATCTGACTTGCAACTAGACTTGGGGAAACAGTGTAGACGGTCATGGGAGAGAAGCAACTGTCTAGAACTTGCCACCTGAGAGGTTGCATCTAAGGAAGACGCACCGCCAAACATAACCCTCAACCCGTTTTTGCATCAGGACTTGTGCAATCGCCTGAACCCCAAACCCCTAAAGCCCTTAAACCCCTAAACCCCATAACCCCAAAAAACCCTAAACCCTTTTTGCATCCAGGCCCATAAACCCCAAATCCCTAAACCCTAAACCCAAACCCCCAAAACCCTAAGCTAATAACTCTTCCCTGGATCTGCCGCTCCTCGGGATCCTCGTCGCTGCCAAGGGATCGAGACGCCCGGCTGCTGCCTCTCCAAGCTAGGTTTAGAGTTTAGGGTTCCCTGCTGCCTCCGAACTCGCTTGGTGCGGCCAACGCATTCAAAAAGCAACATTTCAAAATAGCTCAACACAGGCAATGTATTTATGTATGTGGGGATGTATGCGTGGCTGCATGAATGAAAAAACGCATGTATGTATGTATGTATGTATGTATGTATAGAGGGGGGGCGAGAGCGACTGAGAGAGTCTTTGGACCACCTAGTAGGAATTGTGCACTCGGAGTCTTCCGAAAACACCGAGCACAGGGGTCATGAGTAGATTGGAGAAAAAAAGCTTCAGAAGCATACTGCACAAGCGTATAAGGATGATTGCAACGGAGCAAGGGTTTCTATCCTTTTCAAGACTATGAGGAGAGCAAATGGTCTAAACCTGAGTTCCCAGCGTACAGTAGATTATAAAAATGCTCCTACTGAGCTTTAAGAGTGTACATGTTCTCCAACAATAAGAATAACAATGAATAATCACAACATTAGTAATTATACTGCTAATATGGCATTAGCGAGATGCTAAGACACTAAGTATCCTCATCGAAACTGACAAGGAAGTGGGATTGCTAGTTAGACTAGGGCCTGCGGAATGATACAGCAGGCTTGTATGAACGAAACCTGAGGACTGAGTCACAGGGAATGTTTCTGATAATGACTCAATGCTCCTATACTACCCCAAGAAGCTACAGAAATAAAAGCTTAAACTTTCCGGATCCTACTAAACTATACTAAGAACCCAGAAAATTCTAAAGGCTGGGGGATTGGGGAGATCTAAGCTCGTATACTATAGTACCCTTATAGATCCCTTATAGTAACCCTTATAGACCCCTTTAAAGGAACCCTAGGAACCCTATACCATCTCAGTTTATAGACCCCTTTAAAGGAACCCTAGGAAGCCAAAACTATACCACCTCAGTCCCAGCCCAGGAATGGCAGCCTCCAGATTGAGAGCCGCGGAGGCACTCTGCGAACCTGAGGTGATGTTGACTAAACAACACTACTTAGCATATGGAGGTTACTAGTTCATGGTTGGGATAGGATTAAAATTTTACATTTTTACTCCTTATAGTTTAAGTACCCATAAAAATGTAAAATGTTGCCCAACTATGACAAAGGTTAAAGAATATGCAATCATGTAACATAGAATATGCAACCATTCCTTCTTGCATATATGGAGGTTACTTATGCAACCCGTAAGATTTGATTGAATATACAGTCATGTAACATAATAAAAGGACCCTACATAACGCCACTCTAGGGCCTGGGGTTGACGGTTCAGTTTTGGGAAAAATCCGAAAAACCCAACCGCTGAATCGCCTTATGTTGCGAACCACGGAGCTCTTGCGCATCTTCCTCGTCGGACTCCTCGGTGCGAGCCGTGGCTTAGGGTATATACTCTTTTGAATATCCCTAATTTTTGGGCGATCCTTTAGGGTTTAGGATTTAGGGATCTATAAGGGGAAGTAGATCCCCTAATGGGGCCCTATACTACTGAGGGTACTTTATAGGAACCCCCATTAAGGGATCTACTTTTTGGATCCTTGCGGGGGTCTGGGTAGGTACTGCCTCCATACAGTAAGAGGCTCTAATGGGGCTACTATTGAGGTCCTAATATGTCTGTACTGTGAGTATTATTCAACTATTACTAAGTGGGGGCCGTACCCAAAATATTCCATCTGCCCCGAACCAGCAATCGAAACAAACCTAGCGGCCTTAATGACTCGGCCAGCGCATTTTTGGGTGTATCAGAGTACAACTATACAGAGGCTGCATAAGGCAACATGCTACAAGTGTTAATTAGTCATTTAGGCCGCTACTCACTCTCAGGGAAATGCTCAGAATGTGAAAATGGTTGTGCAGCTGGGCGCCCCTGTTTATGGTTATGTACTTACTATGAGTGTCCCTCCATCGGCTCCTGCCAAGACCCTGCAGCCCTGCGCGCTCTCAAAATCCACAACACTTCTTTGACACCATCGCTGCAACACAAAACCCTAAACACCTTAGCGACAAAACCAGGACCCTTTGCCGCTGGGCGCTGAGACTCTGCCACAAAGATAAACTTCGAACAACTAAAAGCCTCTAAGGCTGGAACTCTAGAAGATAAGAACCCCCACCCGGGCTCCTCGTCGTCGAAGCGGCTCTGACGAGTTTGCCTGGCTGCGGGCTTTCTGGTGGCCACGAAGGGGAGGTTTGCGGATTTGGGGCACTGGGTTTTCCTTGCAGGGGTGGCAACTAGGCCCTGCTTATGATCATGGCTGCTATTATCGCATCTATGCAGATTATTGATATAAGGGCCGTGCATCAACGTTCTACGTACTAAAGCTATGTATCCACTTCGAGCTCTACCTGCAACGCACATCTCTAGATTTCTTCGGCGGGCAACCCGGTCTGAAGCTACAACAATGACAGGTGTAAGGCTTAAGATATAGTGGCGGCTGTAGCGTATTTCCACTTTCACCCTGTCCCTCAGACCCCTTGACCCGAAAGATCGAACCCGGATGCTCTAAACCCTACAGTCGAAACGAGACACTTAAACATTTAAAAACCAAAAAATGGTATGAAGCTTCAAGATGGAAGGCTGGCACCTCCAAAGTTCTGTAACCTGAAGTTTGGATGGGTGCCCATGTATGGGTGCAAAAAACAAAAGCCTAAGCTGCCCTCCGGAGCCTGGGTGGCGGCCTCTCTGGGGAGGCTTCGGCTTGTGGCCTCTGCCAAGAACAAGGTGTAGGGGTTTAGGGTTTAGGGTTTAGGGTTTAGGGGTCGAGCCCTGTATTAAGGCTTTACAGCTTCTATGTAGTTCAACACGGGTTTCTTGCCTCACGGTTTGGTCGGGTTTTGAAGTCGTCTAGGCTTTTATGGCAGGAGTTCATGTGGTCAGAGGGTTTCGGGCTTCAGTGTTTAGCTTTTCCGGGCGGGGTTCATATTATGAGAGGGTTTGGCAACTTGGGGCTTCAGTGTTTACGGTTGGGGTTCGAGGTTTAGGGCGTGACGTCGTATGCGTGTTCGGTGGGCGGAGCTACAAGTTACACCCAGCCTCCAATCTCCACATCCTACCCCCCCAAGCCCTGTAAAGTAAAGCCTGCACGATGCATGTGTTGTGCTTCCTGGCACTTTCGGGTCTTGTCGTCCCTGGGAGTCTTTCCCAAACCGAACCAGACGTATGATTACGTGATTCTGATGGCTGCAGTAGAGACCAGGCTGGATGCCCATGCTCTGCCAAACCATAAGTCTCGGAGGTCCTGAATTTTGGACCCTGTTTCTAAATTCTTGAAGAGCTGACTTCAAAAATCCGAGACGACGACCCCAGATCCTAAATTCACTTGCCAAAGTCCCCGGATCCTTCAAGCACAGTACTTGGAGGATGATGGGACTTAGTAAGTAGGGTTATAAGTACTTTACTTGGGGTTATAAGTAAATATAACTATAGCTACCTTAATTTTTACCCTACTTACTAAGTCCCATGATCCTCTAAGTAGCCTCAGATCGAGCCTCACTTCGCGTTGCTCCGGCTCGTTGGCACGCGCCCGCAGCGCCTGAATCACTGCATTCCAAGGGTAAAAGGAGGGACCCTTAATAAGGACCCCTAGGTATATACCCTTAATATAGCCATTATATACCTATTATATAGCCCATCAAAGGGTAGGGGTCCCCATTAAGGGTCCCTCCTTTTCCCCTTTGATGCATGCTGGACAACGGGTTCTCACTTCCTATACCATGGGGCCATAGGGTGTCACAGGGCTGAGGTTTGATAGATGGGGTATTATCCGGGTTGTCATAGGAGTTTCGGAGCATGTTCGAGAGATTGTCGCTTGTCGGGGATGCGCACACCTTGGATCCTAATATCTGGAGTCCCTGAACAATCTTTTCCTCTAGCAGGTAAAACCTGTAATTCATCAAGCACTACCCACAATATCGAGCAAATTCCAAATGCAAACACCTGGAACAACCCTCGAGCCGATAAAACCCAATCTCTCTCTCTCTCTCTCTCTCTCTCTCTCTCCCAGGCATTCGAAACGTCAAGCCCGGCTGTCTGGCATCTGGAGTCTATTCACAGATGCCATCTACTCTCCTGAACCCCTATAATCCTATGCCATCGATCCGAAATGCACTTCTTTTTGCATCGATCCGAAAACCTCAAAGCCTAGACCCTTATGTAAGCCTCGGTTTCCACACCGAAACCTCTGCTTGAGGACAATCTACCCCAAAAATTTCCGGGTCATTGTCGATGATGGAAGCAATGCATGTAAAGTAGTAGTACTATCACTGCTATTATTGTTGTCTTTGGATATTCTGCTGCTGTTGCTGTTGTTACCTTACTGAAATATCTAAACCCAGCATCAGCGCATCTCTCGGAGGAAGGGTCCCAAACAGAACCACTTCAGCACAACGGCTCAGGGTTCAGGGCCTTCGGGTTTAGGACGACTTTTGAAGTAACGGTCTGAGGATGTTTACGCGGTCCGTTTACTCCTCCTTTCCACCATCCGGGACCTTTTTTCGAAATCCTGAACTTTCGCACATCCGCAAACCCAAACACCTGCATCACCTAAATAACAATTTTCTCTACAGCATCTTCCAACTTCTGCGATAGGTGCTATGAACACAGGTCGTGCATGTTTCTTTTGGATTATGTTGAAGCTGTGTATACTGAGGGCTTTCCAAACTTGTAGATGTCAGAAAACGCAAGCGTTCTTGACAGGCGACTAACCAGATAACTAGAACTAGAATTGGCCTGGGAGGTTTGCTATGGTATAGTTCTAAGGGGACCATAAGGCGAGATCATAGCTAATCACCAATCATTCCGAACTATCTATCACCCTACGCGACCTCTCCTTCATGAGCATCAACGCACGAGCTCCAGACTGCTTCAAACGTTAACATCCGAATCCCTGAATTACGGCTTAAGGATGTGTAGGATTTAGGCTAACCTAGCCTTACCTATCGCTTTTTAGGATCCTAAACTTAGAATTGGTTAAACTAAAAAAGGGCACCACAGTGAAGACTTATCGTGACTATAGGTAGACCTCTGAACCCTATCCCCGCCAAAAAATGACCCATGAAGAACTCCTGGAACTCTTTCGGCCCCTTCCGGCCCGGTCCCGAAGCCGCTGGCTGCGTCTGGGGCCAGCTGCAGCCTCTGCTGCGACCTCCGCCGCAGGCTCCGCCGGCTCTGCGAAGGGCCTGGGTCTGGGGCTCTTACATAGAAAGCTCTGAGAACTGAAACTTCAAGGATCATGAGTTTGGCAAAGTATATAGTGAGTCATTAGTGGTTATAAGTAAGTTTTGAGAAGGACGGGCCTAACGAGGGTTGTAAGGCCTGTAGTGCTTGGAAATACACCTTGTTGGTGGGCACATTTGGGCGTTTGGGAGTCGTTTGCTAAAGGAGTGGTAATTAGGGCAAAAACTCAACGCGAAACCCTAAAACCTTGACCTTGAGCCCCAAGCCCTAAAATCCTAAACCCGAAACCACCAAACCCCTAAATCCCTAAACGCCTCCTCCCACTCCCGACCTTACATCGGCCAGAATCTCAATGAAGAACTTTTTGTTGACAGAAAATTGACTTTTTGGGCCAGATCGCACTGCAATATATAGAGACACTACGAATGGAAAATTAGTCGTAGTTATGTCTTAACCATGATAAAACTCCATAAGATCTTATACGGATAGTAAGCCTAAGCCCTGATAACACTCCACAATGCACCTATAAAGCCCTTACACAGCCTTGGCGGAACACTATAAAGCCCTCATAACTCTGCACTACTTCTTCACATCCGTCAACCCTAAGCCCTAACCTCCAGACCCTACCTGGACCCCCCAACCCCCTCTAATTATTAAGGACCATAAAGGCTCTTTTAAAGGGTACTTGGGGGGTGCTGGTAGACACAAAACCCCGCCAAACCTGGATTACAGCCCTAAACCCTAAGCCCTAATCCCAGAAGCCCAAAACCCCTAAGCCATATAAACCCCAAGCCCTAAAACCCTAAACCTTGATCAAACCCAAAAACGTAGACAAGGGGCTCTTCCTGCCCACACCCAAGCTTCGCAGGCGCCTGCTTGCAGTCTTCGGGCACCTCCTCAGGCTCCTCCTGAAGGGATTTCCAAGTCCAACTTTCTATTGTTGGGTTTCGAAAAAGTGCGTGTTCATTAATTAGCCGAGGATGCAATTTCAAACAGCTTTTTTGGGGGGAGGTGGTGACAGAACTTCCTTAATTAACGATGGGTTGCTGTAAGCCCGAACATCCTGCTTGGACGACGATGAGGGGCCTTAGCACATTGGTCTGGCTAAGGCCATACCGAGCCTAGTTAGGCCATAACCCCATAATCTACTCGGGAAAAGCCCCACAGTTGCATACCTTTCTCCTAATCCCCTGATCTTGATTGGGAGGGATAAAGGCTTCAAAAGCTTGCGGAAGTTTCCTGAAAGGCCAGGGTTTAGCGGCCACGGTCCAGGGAAAGAGCTCACATCTCTAAACCCCAGACATGCTATAGAACAAGAAGCCCAAGAAGGATCTGTGAGTTTACCGGATAAGCACGAACCCTAAACCCTAAACCCTAAAAAAAACCCAGCTACTTCGGCTCTTGGGTTATTCAAGCGTTACGGCTTACGGGTTGAGGGCTTTCAACAGTCATGATGGTTTCGACTCTGACGCTCGCACCAGGCAAGGCTGGACAAGTCCAGGCTCAAACGAACGGGCTTAAACGAAAGAACAACTACAGGAGACTACACACCCCTTTCCCCCCCCCCAGAACCACAACATCCCCCACTATGCACATCAGCCCACACCAACTCCAGCAAACTGAAACAGCACAAAGGCGCATCAACGACTCCCCAAAAAAACATGCAAAGGGACCAACAGGACACACCATGACAAACCAAAAAGTTGGCTAGCTTGGGCTCAGGGTTTAGACCCGGCTAAAGTCCTCGGTCAGCCGTCTCAACCGTTTCAGCCGTCGGGGCAACTGCGGAGGAGGAGGTGTCACCTCCACGGCATATACTCAGCGAGCACGATCAACACCCTTTAACTATGCAGCACGTTTTTGAACCTGCATTTCCTAAACTTTTGTGTAATACCTCCTTCAAATGGGGGGGAGCAGGGATAATCAACTTAATCGCCTTTTGTTTTGATACGAAACTTGAAGGACTTGAACCGTGGATGCTAAACTCTATCGGCCCTGAAGTTGACGGCTTCACGAAGGAAGGCTCTGTGGCCTCTACATAGTCATGCTAAAATCTACCTCAACACCTTGGGCTGACTAGTCAGACCCCCCTGTATTATGGGAATCAACTTCCTTGACAACCTGCAAATTTCTACCATCTTCATGGGACACCATTTGTTGCACGATATGGCTGTAAAGCTTCTTGAAATCTACTCCGGCGCATTGATGACATTGTAAGAAGAATCTTGCAAAATGTGGTCCTAACTACCAGACAGTGTGACATGAGACTACGACGACTACTACTACTACTACTACTGCTACTACTAGTACTACTGCTACCATTACCACTACTGCGACTACTACGACTACTACGACTAGGACGACGACTACAACCCGTACTACTGCTACTACTACTACTACTACTACTACTACTACTACGACTACTACTACTACGACGACGACGACCAGTACCAGTACAACTTCGACTGCGGCCGCAGCTATCGACTACGACTACCTTCAGCAATGTTGATTTTGGTGTTTTCTGTAGACCTCATAAAGATGCGACGGGCACGGCTAGAGTTGTCACAGTTGCACTAAGTAGTTCCTACTCATGCATGTGATGGGCCCGAGTCAAAAGTAGCAGTAGTAGTAGTAGTAGTCGTCGTCGTCGTCGCAGTAGTCGTAGTAGTAGCCGTATTGGTAGTGGTAGTTGTAGTAGTAGTAGTAGTAGTAGTAGTAGCAGTAGTAGTAGTAGCAGTAGTAGTAGCAGCAGTAGTAGTAGTAGTAGGTAGTAGTAGTAGGTGGTAGTAGTAGTAGTAGTAGTAGTAGTAGTAGTAGTAGTAGTAGGTGTTGAGAACAAGTCATCGTCCTCCTCGTTGTCGCCGCCGCGGTGGGGGTGGTGGTGATGGTGGTGGTGGTGGTGGCGGTGGTGTGGTGGCGGTGGCAGTGGCGGCGGCCGCAGAGGTGGTGGATGCAGTCGTCGCCGCGGTGGTAGCACTAGCAGCCGCAATAGCAGCAAGCCGGGAGGGAGAAAAACAAATGCAACAGGAATTCAAACGCAGTGCCGAAGCTTTTGCAAGTCGCGTCCAGTTCCAGCGAAAGCTTCGCTGGAGCATCGTCACGGATGCCCTCAGACAGAACTATGCAGCAGATGAGGTTTCAGGTCTAGACACAGTTAGGCCCGAGATCAGAATTACGACAGTTGAGGGGTTCAGGGCTTCAGCGTGTTATATACCCCTCGGGTTTCTATGCTTCGGGCTTTATGAATGGAACCTGAAGCGGTCATGGGCTCAGACTGTCCGAAGCTTCAGCTGCCCGCGTCCTACACTTCCCTACTAGGGTGTAGGCACCTTAGCTTCGGGCATAGAACTCTGCATGTAGTATATTGGGTCTTCTGCGCCTTGCCACTGAGAACATGCATGACGTCTTGAACGCTGACCAAAACGATGTCGAATCAATCTGATGTGCATGACTGCCCTACTGACCCCACGCGAAGCCATGAACCCTACCCGACACAAGAGGGGAATTGATAACTAGAATGAGGGTTGTGAGATGTATTTTGGTATAGACGGGGTAAGACTGCCCAGTAGTTTTTCATGTCCAATGCTTGGTTGCACGCTAATCATGCAACAAGCTGCGTCCGCTTCCACTGGTTCATCCGCAGCTGGGGGGTTGCTCGCGATGCCCTGACATGAAAACACTTGTGCACAGACTTGCGCATGCCCTCAACTCTAAACCCTCACCCCCCTAGACCCTCAACCCCTAACACCTCTAACATAAATAAAGCACGACTCTCTATGACTACGAGGGTAAGGTCCCTAAAAGCAACTTCCCCTCCCATTTGCGCCACACTCCCTCGCCTCCGGAGTCGCGCCCTCCAAACCGCCAATCTGAAACCCGGATCCAGAAACCCCAAAACCTGTTAGTTAAGGAATATGCCCTCACACACGTGTAGATATAGATAAATAGATAGATAGAGAGAGAGAGAGAGAGAGAGAGAGAGAGAGAGAGAGAGAGAGAGAGAGAGGGGGGGGATAATTTGCCAAAACTTCATCAAGCTCAGACCGCATTCTTGCCGATTTCTCTACACTAACTCGGCTTTAGGGTTTTGGGCCGGGTTTAAGGGCTTGGGGTTTAGAGCTTAAATGGCTTGAATGTTTACAGTCTAGCAAATCTTTAGCGAACCGTAGTAGTCGCAGCCATGTGCGAGGGTCTACTGATGGGTTTGGTGCTGATGGCCGAAATGAAGTTTCAGCAAGGATGTATGCAGCCTGCAATTTGGACTCTTGATGACAGCACCTTAACTTGTTGAGGCGCCTACAGGAATTGCTGAAAACTTCCCATTTGAACGCAGAGAATTACTCAACCTTATGCCCTCAGCAACCCAATCTATCCTCCAACCCTAAATCCTTGTAAAATCCACTCGTGGATGGGGCCCCAACCCTTGGGTGTGGACGACCTCCCCGCCCGCACTGTTCACGCTGACCGCCCCGCCCTAGCCCCAAGCCTAATGCCGGTTCATGGGCCCCTCGAGGCCCCTTTATGATGCCCTCATGAGCATTCTCGAACGGCGAGCCCAGCATACAAGCCAACGAGACAACAGTGCTGTATTTTCCGGTCGCAGCAGCAGATCCATGCGGATTCATGCTAGTTCGTGATGCTTCAAGTGCTTCATGCAAACATCACCAAGCGAAGTCACTGCAATGCTTTGCCATCGTCGTATCAGGTTCATAACATGCTGGTGCACCATGCATCGCGAAGATACAGAATAGATTGTTGCAGCGCAATACGGCAATATGTTCAATATTATATTGTGGTTGCACTGCTAAACCTGCATAGCTATCGTAAAGATCACATGTCGGTGTCACCGTGTGTCAGTTTGCACTGACACTGCACTGAGAGATTCTTTGAGTTGCACAGCATGAAGCGGCATGCCAGCTCGTGGTGGGTAGAAATATGCAATGGTCTAGTGGAGTTTGCGAAGGATGCAACACTCGGCATTACCAGCACTCAGTGCAACTACCGTCACTTCTGTGACACAGGGTGAAACGGTGAGACACGCCGCCACGATGAGGTTCAGACCTGAGCGGAATCGAATCACACAAGTTCTTCTGTTGCAAAGTGGACATGCATGGCTGCATGGACTTCACAGCATGCACATGCAGCATGACAAGACGTTTTTTTGACTGTCGTTGTTCTGTGCTGTCGCGTCGCCGTGTGCCGTGTGGTGCAGTGGCATCTGGACAAGCGGACCCCATCAAATCCGACATACCGCAACACCGTCACGACAACTCAGGCTCAGAGAAAGAGCAGGGCAGCAGGCAAGCAAGTGAAAAGGTAATTACGGTAATTAGGGAAACTCAAGCAGCTGGCTGTCGCCTTCGGCAACAAAGCTGGTTCCCTATTCTCTTATTCTCGTGGACTCGTGGCTGCGATTTCATCGCAGCAGGAACTTGCAATGCTTCGGAGCATTCAAGGTCATCAGCAAGGCGCCCAGGCCATCGTCCTCGTCATGGCCCTCGGCTTCTGTCTTTACGACTCCGGTCATGGTCTTGAACGCTTGCCCACCCAAGACCTGCGCAGACTTTGTCTTGAATTTGCCGGCGGTTGATCGCTGTGGGCCACTTTTCTCGTGCGAGAAGCTTGTGCGGGAGCACAAGTGCTCAGACACGGTGGAAGTACCTGTCTCCTTCGCCGCCACGAGCTTCTTCACAGCCTATGAACAAAAGATAAGATGCGACATAAGAGTCTTAAACCCAGGTGAAGCTGTATGAAATACACTAGACTATATACTGTATAGTAGTATAGTATAGTATAGTATTAGTATAAGAGTCGACAACTGATCTGACGGAGATGATGTGATGATGCGATATGGTTTGGTTTGATATGTTATGATAATATATGATATGATACGGCAACGGCATGATGATTGCGATATCAGGCATGATAAAACTCTATGGCAAATTATATGGTCTGATTTTCTCTTATTATGCGCAGTCAAATGCCTGTACACCGATATCATCGTTATGCTGAAAACCTTTGATGTATGCAGGCAATGTGCGAGCGGGCCGGGGCAGCCGTGGGTGAGACTCATGACTTGTGCTTGTGACTTGATTCATTCATGATATGATAAACAGTACCGCAATAACAACAACAGCAAGAACAACAACGTAACAACAACTATGAATATGACTATGACTGAATACCTGTGAAACGGGCTCTATGACTGTATTTTTATGACACTGACACTCTACGACTCTATGACTCATGACTCCACAACACAACTCACAGACAGACTATGACTTTCACCTGCATTGAATCATTGAATCATTGAAGTACATTCCATTGCACGCAATCACATTCGACTCACATTCGACCACACAAACTTCAGGCTTCCGGCTTCAGGGATTCATGTACTTTGCACACAATTTTCACAATGGTGCCACTCTATCACCGTATTCAACTTCAAATATATGTTATATGGAAGCTACGGCAACAGCTGCGGCAACAACAACGGTGCAGTGGGAAGTCGATCTTCTAAACCCAGCTGATGCAAACTGATGCATGCGCGGTATAGTGAGACTGTAACTGGAACGCCATTGAATCAACCGAATAATAGCAGTATGTGTGAAGCATGTATTTCATATTATTTCTTTAAACTTCTAGAACTTCTAAAGCTTATCATTGCTTCATATCATAGGACCATAGAACATACGACCTCTGGGCGGAAGCGGAGTGCTGGCATCTGCAGGTGGACTGTGACTTTGTTCCCAGACCTGAGATTCAAGATAACATCAAAGCATGCATCATGCAACCAATACGCAACAAATGCTGTTGCAACCGAGTCGCGCGTCGGAGAAGTCACGCACCATGTCTTCGATCTGGGAGGCGAACATTGCCTTCTTTTCTTCGAAGCCGGCCTTGATCATCCATACTGCGCATGGAACCAGGCTCGTGGGCTTGCTGAACCCTTCGTAATGCAGAAAGTAGTCCACCGGGACGGCGTTGTTGCCAAAGTTGCAACGTGCCACCTACATGGCCGAATTGTCGGCATCACTACAGGAAGACTAAGTAAAGCACATGCAATGCAGACTCCGTGAGCACAAGTGCAGGCAGTGATGGATGCAACCTGCTCTACTTCACAGCTGCCAAACGGACAGACTCAACTCAACTAAGCAAGAAGATGCCACGCATGCGTGAGCATCATATCACAATATCAATATAGGTCATTAGACATTAGATTCATGAGTCATTAGTCATTAGTCATTAGATCATATCATATGAGAAAATCACAGCAGTCACAGAATATCATGTGTTCAATATTCAGTATAAATACCATACATGCTGACATATGCTGTATCATGCCGAGCGAAGCTGTCATACAGTCATACAGGAAGCACATCGACGCACATCGAGCAACCTTCAACGACTTGCTTCCTGGTTCCGTCGACACCGTGCCGAAACCCCACAACGTAGTACTCTCCATGGATGCGTTCACGACCGCTTCCGGCATCAGCGTGTTCCCCTTCGCATCAACAACCAGTGCCGAAAGAAGCTCTGAACTGGAATTTTGCCTGAGTTGCAAAGTACCATTGCTTGCTCACAACATTACATGCAAAATCATATACTCAATGTTATCTGATGCTGCAAGCACTCCCTATTCGTACGTAATTGCGGGATTGGACCAGGCGTGGTGATGCTCTGAGGTAGCTGCTTAGGAGTTCACAGACACAGGACACAGTGACACACGCTTCCACAAGTATCGACGACAAGAATACAATGCAGACACGGCATGTACCACATGTCACGTGCACCAGTGCAGCCGATGTTACTTTGCCCAAGACATGATGAACAGCTCGATTTGGGAGCGGATGGCCACAACGTCCCGCACATCAACATCATGAACCTTGATGTCCGGCAAATCGTGCATGAGGTAAATCTCATTGAAGGTCGGCATGAGGCACTGTTCTGCCTGGGGTTTCCCTGCAACGGTGCCCGAGGGAGCATCAGCATCACCTTTGCTTGCCTGGGGTTCCGTCGATTCTGTCGGCTCGGACTTCACTTTGGCTGTCGTCGGCGATTGAGGATCACCACGAACAAACGGCAAGCTTGCACCTCTGGCATTCTTGTTCTTGGGACAAACTGATTTCACGGATGGCAGCCACTTGATCAAGTTGGCCTCAACGATCTGGTCCATCTTACTGGTGGCATCATCCTCATCCTTTTTGTCCTTGTCCTGCTCGGACTCAAAATCTACTGCACCAAAAACTGGCTTCATGCCACGTTGCACTGCAACCGTCAGTATCTTGGCCCACATCTGAGGCCACTCAACTGTTGCAGACGGCCCGTGACTGAATGCAAACTGGGCTTCGATTCTCATGATGTACTTCGTCAACTGTGCCTGCATCGTTTCAGGTTCCGCTGTGTCGGTTGCCGCCGCCTGTGTTGGCTTGCTGTTTCCCATGGCTTGGCATGCATCTGCGAGGTGCTTGATGATGCTGTGCAAGAGCTTTGTGGCACCCGGCTTCATGTCTTCGAACAACACGAAAGATGGATCGACTGTCCGGGGGTTCGTGATGGCCAAGTGTAGGAGGTGAAGCAAGTAAGCAGGCCTACAAAGAAGCAGCATGGAGACGATTTCGTCTCGAACGGCAAACTGGGGATCTCCGGCAGACCCTTGGCCCACGACGTGCAGCATGAACTTGGCCTCCTTGCCCATGTTGCGGATCATCTCCTGATACCAAGCACTAAGCCACTAAGCACCACCAAACACCTTCTACAACTCTACAACAGTCATGGAGTCATGGAGTCATGCTGTGAGGTGAATGATGCAATGATGCAGTGATGCAGTGAGACAGTCATGCACTCATGCACTGTCATGCACCCGTGCACTGCACAAATCAATAAGATGTAGATGTAAATATAGATATGTATATGATATAGAATATTGAATATCGCAACCATTGCAAACATATATCAGATGCATGTAGTAATTATTATGTATGTATGTAAGTAATAACATCATCAATATGTAATTGTTGCAGCCAACAAGGGGCCAACAAGTAAGCATGAGCAAACGCAGTGGGCAAACACAGTAAGCAGCTAGCTGACCATGCAGCCGGCAACGCAATCAGTAGGCAGGTAAACCTCAGGTAAACACATCTCACGATCCTGCTGCCCATCTGGAGTTGCCGCCGCTGACAACAGGCAGCTGCTCCCCAAGAGTGGTAGAACCCAGGGGATCAAATCAACCTGTTCGATCAACATTGCGAGTCCAGCAACGATGTCCGGGATGGTGAACGTGGAATCGTGGAAGTCGCAGTCGTTGTCTTGGACATCCCACCCATCCGTCGGCGATCGGCATGTGCACAGCGTGTTTCGAAAAGACGAGCATAGCTGTCCGTACACAGGATGCTTGTTCGGATTCCTGGAAATGTTCTCGTTGAAGAACTTCTCAGCCGTGTACATCGTGTCTTTGTCGGCCAGAACCGTCTTGGCAACTGCAAGTGGAGTCGAGCCTGTGTCTAGGGCACTGAGAAATCGTTGGGTAGCTGCCTCCTCGGCCATCTCCACTTCCTGCGCGAGCCTGTCAACAATGTCCTCGACTGATGTTGTCGCCGAAGACGCTGCCGCCGGTGCTGACAACGATCCGCTGGATGTCTTCCTGCACTTTGTCATCAGCGCTTGCAGTGCCGGCCGAGCCTCTTTGCGATAAGGACAAGGAAGGGCTTCGGCTCTATATCAACCAATCACTGACTGCACTGGACGACTCAAGGAACGACTACTATGAACAGAGCAAAACGTTTGGCATATAAGCACACATGTATGCAAGAAGAGGACAAACGCAGCAAACGCATCCGCATGCGAACTACAGACGTCAGAGCTTTAATCGTCTGCCGTGGCCTTGCTCCAGCAGTTGAGCGTCTTCTTGTTCAAGGAAATGCTTCCGGTGCAAGCGAGCTCCAACCCATAACCCAGCATGGTGCTGAACAATCTGGCTTCCGTCGACTCGAAATCACCCTGCTTGGGAACTGGAACCTTGCAAGCACTTACGGCTGACAACAGGTCATCAAACCACAAACGAGGTCTGAAGCCCTCGTGCATTTCCATCAGCACGTCACCTTGCAACGTCTCCAAGGTTTCACCGTCCTGCAACACACCCTGCTTCGCAGCTTTGGCTTTGCCAGCAGCCTTTGCTTTGCCCTTGGCTTTTGCTTTAGCCTTGGGCGCTCTCTTGGGTGCCGTTGCACTGTCCTCCAGCTCTGGAGCTCTGGGGCGTTTTTTGCCAGAGGCACTTGCTGCAACAGCTGCGGCTTTGCAACTCGCCTTCACAAGCTTCTCGATGAAGACAGCTCCCTCCACTGGACATGCCAAACGCTCCATCGCCTGATTCAAAGCTTGCGAATTTGTCCCGCCCTTGAACACGAAAGGCAACAAGCGACTCTTGCTATCCGTCACCGAAGAAGGCAACAAAGGAACCTGAAGCCGGAGCACATCAGTTCATGCAGCTCGTAAAAGCAACGTCTCGACACCGAATGCAAGGTTCTAAGCACGTTTAAACTCTGATCTATATTCTTCGGATGGTCCAATGATGTAGGCTGTTCGCCTGTTCGCAGTTTTGTAGTTATTCGTGAACATATATGAAAGGAATAAAGAACTTCACATGAGCATGGCGTGGAATTATGGTATGTGCGGAACATGCAGATGCACTGGTCAAACACGTACACACAGATACACATATATGTGTGTATGCATATGATGCATATGTGTATATAACGCAACTATACATGTATATATGCGTATATAGCTGTGTCTATGTATGTGTGTGTATGTGTGTATGTATGTACGCATGTATGTGTGTATAAGTGCATATGTATATGTAGTGTATATGCATACTGTATACTGCGTGCTCCTTCCCTTGCTTGTCGGTTGAACATGACGGTCTAGTCGTGTTCGCATCGGGTCAACTGAAATGAAACGAACTAGTAACTGCTAAGCAACATGATGTTACAATGTTACAAGCAATCGAAGGCACGCACATCTTGAAAAGCTCCATCAGGGATATCGCAAGCAGTGACTCATGCTGACCTTTGAAGCTGCCCTCTAGGAAGGTTGTCAGCTGGTTGAGGTTTAGCAGCGTGCGTTCGTGACCTGACTGCAGGTCCGAGTGGAGGAAGTCTGTCGAAGCCGAGAAGAAATCCTCGAAAAACTTCAGCATCCCCCAGTTGACCAGTTTTTTGCGCAGGGCACGCGCCGCTTTGAAGGAATTCGAGGTGTACTTTTCCTTGAACTCCGATTGCTCCAACCACTTCGTGAACTCGTCGTGATACGAACTCACGTTGCGGGAAGTGATTTTCATCCTATCGGCGTAGGCTCGCCACGCCTGATGATTCACTGACTTAAATACCGTCTGCTTGGGGTAAGCTTCTAATGGAGCGGATTGTTACTTTTTGTTTCCCCTTTTTTTGCTTGGCCCCACTGCCACCTCATCCACCTGAGCGGCTCCTGAGATCAGCTCAATGAATGAAATGCTTCCACCTCCATGGAACTTGTTGTTCAGGTCCCGCAGGAATCTCAGGATCAAGATCGCACTAGCGCGAGAGTACCCAAAGACTCAGCTATGCGGCTGCCTACTATGACTGCTCCCTTTGATTTAGCATGAGCAACGGTAGCCCAGAAGGAATGCACAATACACTCTAGTTTAGTGAAGCTGGGCAACGTGAGGACGTCGATCGGTGTCCGGGATGCCAGCACGCGACAGGAGCGCAACCCAGCTTGCCGTGTGGCTTCTACTTGGGCATTCTGAGGCTGCTCACGACAAGCATCGTAAAATGCCTCGGACCTGAAGCGAACCGTGAAGTTGTGAAACATTGCATTGATCACACAATCTATAGGAGAGTCTATGTGCAAATAACATTCGTATTCACATATAAGACAAAGCAGCATGGATATCAATATCATAATATCATATAATAGGCACAAATCACAAGTATAAACACAGATAATACCTACATGCATTGCATGCATTCTTACATACTCATATAATACATATATAGATAGTATTGTTATAAGTTAAGGTATTGAAATACGGTTGACTCATTGACTGTAATTGATGTATCAGTATCAGTGAAGGTGTACTGCTGCGATGGCCCTCACTGCACGACTCGTGTCTGCCAACGACTCTCAAATTCTCAAAGCCAGGCAAGCAGCAGGGTTCCGTAAGTAATGGCGAGGTACGGAGCACCTGGTCTTTCTGGCCTCAATGTCATTCAGGGTTTCTCGAGTTCAACTGACAACTGCCCTCACTTGCGTGCAAAGTGGTTACACGGCCTCGGTTCACAATCACACGACTCATGCGAAATCACCGGAAGATTGCGGAGGATGCCACATTACTGGCTGCTATTAGGATCTATAAACATGCTTAACATGCTGACTCGACGCTGCATACCAATAAACTGCATGCATACAGCCAGGCAGCTGCACTAACCAGGCCTCTCCTCGACATCCTTCGAGGATTCCGTGGGTCAAGATCCCCTTCTTGTAGCGCTGCTTTAAGCTCACTTGGCGTCGGTCATTGATCGCGTGCCTGATTATATTGGGGGTCGTGCCGTCGGCCAGGAACCAATCCACCGTCATGAGGCCATGGTTACACTCAGGGACCTTAGCTAACTAACTAACATCACATCCGAAACGAGTCCGCGTATGCAGCACGCTACGCAGCGGTCGCTGCCAAGCCTGTGAACCCTTCAGAGCTACTGCTGCTCCATGTGAAACCCCACGTCAAGGCGCTTGATATGTCTGGAAAAGCATATTCTGGAGGTCTCGACCGCTAGCATCGCCAAATCGCTCCGTCAAACTCCTGTTTCCCCAAATAGCTTCCGAAGCTGCGAGCAACGATGCCGACCCTTTGGCATCTGACTCACCAGACTTCCGTGACCTGACACACCAAACATAGGCGAGGAGAGCCTATTTTGGGAACATCATCCAAATGTTACCATATGTCGCATGTGCATGCATTGTCACTGTGAATCACTGCGCATGCGCACGTCATGCAGTGCCCTGTGTTGCACGTACTCATCCCAGGCAAACGACGGCAAGCGATATAGATACTGATATCATATGCAAATACAAAGCACCAATTGCACCAATGCAATCATATGGATGTGATGTGATGTGACAATTCTCAGTCGAGCCGAGTCAAGCCTGGTAAAACTTTTTCCATGTAATACCGAGTGACACACCAGCCGCACTCTGCGAGCTTTGGCCACTAGTGTTAGCTGGCTGTTGCGAAGCCATGCACACAAACGGGCGGCAAAGGCGCAGGGAAAGAACGTCGCTGTTCCGTACACTGAAGCGCGAATATGCTGCAAATGATTTGGGAATCATGCAGTTGCAAGCAGCGTGAAACCGTGAAACCCATGCAACCAGCACTATGCCGTGCGAGCAGTCCTGACATGCAGCATATGGACTGGATAACACTTCTACCACAAGGTTATTTCTTTCACTTGACCACTGACATTCAACTTTCTTGCACAGAATTTGTAGATGCCTCCGGCAGCATGTTGCAGCTGCAGAAACTGGGCGGATGGCTTGCCCACCCTCCCCACTCCCCAGAAACGTCATCGCAGGTGAAACCTGTGAAACTTTCATTCGACTTGCTTTCTTTAAAATCAAGTCACAATCACAGAAACTCGCTCATCAAACTGTGTGCAAGATCTGCCATCACAGGCGACATCCCGTCTGGCCCACGTTGTGTCACTTGGGTGACGGCGTACAGCAAACACAGTCCTGCTGTCATGGAATGCATGCCGTTACCAGCCTGGCCCACGTGAGAGCTTCTTGCAAACGGAATATGTTCTCTGATATTCTCCGGCTGTGAGAAAGAACACATGGAAACACCCTGCGTTAACATGTCGGCATACACAGGCATCCCCTGCGCCATCAGAGCTTCCTTTGCGAGCAGGAACCGACCGTGAAAGTCGGACCTCAACTTCAACTCATCCGATTGCACTGAAACGAATACAAGTACTTAGAATGACAAGAAACAGTACAATGCAGCACTGTATAATACTATAAAACCTGTGTAAATGACAATGTTAACCGAGAAACCAATACATGACCACATAGGAACATATATTGATAGCTGATAGCTGCACACCAAACGGACTGGATGCTTTCATGCAAACATGCAATCACTGCAATCATGCTGCGTGGGATTACAGCTACCTAAGGTTGCCCAGCTTGCCTCTTGTTAAGCATTTTTAAAGTTTATTCGGAGCTATTGCCGCTAAGGTTTAAAGCAGCTGAGTTACCACAGGATTCCACCATTGCGGATCAGCGTCTGCAATTGCTCCGGGCTACTCTTGTTGGCAAAAGACTCGGGGTTCTGATTGAGTGAGTATGCCATGCCAGGTGCCAAAGCGCGGTAATCGACCAGGAAGCGTGTTTCGGCCTCTGTCAAAGAACGAAGGAACTCATCTTTAACCGACTCGAAATCAGTGTGGTACGCCTGCAAAAATTCAGCCAGCGACTGAAACTTACAGCACCCACTTGTTGTCTTGGCTTTAGACTCCGGACGTGAGCACGCCCACAGCAGCTCCTGGTACATGTCCTCCGGTTTGCCTGCAAAGTACACATCCCATGCCGGTATGCCTGTCCGGGTGCACTCCTGCTTTGCCTGAGCGAACATGGAAGTGAAAAGGTTCATCGGTGACGAAAACGCTCCGGTTTTGTACCGATGCCGCAAGAGAACCCATTTGCGTTCCCTGACCACAGGAAACCCGAAGTGGCATGGGTTCAGGATGCACTCTTGCACAAAGTACAGTTCACCGAGTACTTGCTGTAGCAACCTGGTCGGGAACGATGACACGTTTTCCTGTAAGATCATTGGCTCCTGCAAACGTAGGCGCATGCTGCACCAGCAAAGGAAAAACAGATAGGTCTTGCCATCCTCCTTGGACATGGTGCCGCGCTGACTATAATATGTGCAAGGAGTCCCAGCTATGTGGAAGTCGGCCGGTTTTGCCTGGTTTCGGAATTTGTGCACACGCTGCGCTGCGACGCGACTCCAAATCTACCTGATGACACTGTCTATAGAAGAGCCAGCTACAAACTGCAATATTGTTGCTCAAATATGAACTTTGACCGTAACTGCAGACATGACAGACATGCATACCGGTATGAGTCATGAGTCATGAACTCAGATCATTAAGAATATGTTATGACTCAAGTTGTTGCATGGCATTCAGCCAGCTGTCCTAGGCAGGCATGCCAGCTATGCATCCAGCATGAAGAACACCACACCGCACGATTCCTGTATGTATGGCCCATGACGGATGACGTTTCACGCTAATGTTCCCAAAACCGCACGAACGCTTGAACTTGAACTCGCTAGCAGCATGCTTTGCCCACACAGCTTGTAGGGGTTTAGGATTTGGGGGTTTAGGGGCCGGGGTTTAGGCGGACAAACAACGCAGAGCATGTGGCCTCGCATTCGCACCCATGCTTCAGGCAGTATGCCGTGGTGCGTGTGGCTTTGCCCTTCTGGATCAATGGCAAGAGCACCTGGTCAACCAAGTTCTCTGCGAGAATGCGCTCCAACTTTTCAAAGACTGCGGGGTTCCAAAAGTTGGAGATATCTGCGAAGACATGTTCAGCTGCATGTGGGTGAACGAGTAGCTCTTGCTGGGAATTGCCGAACCATTCGATTGCGAAGTAATTCCGAGGCCTCTCAATATCATCTGGGCTGATACCCAACTCACATCCCACCGCATGCTGCAACATGAGGAATGCCGTGGCAGGTGTGTCTATTCCTGAAAACGAACTGCTCATAGTTGTGGCATTCAAACGATTGTGCAAACCTAGCAAAGCATCCTCCTCAACGGATCGCCCTTGGGGCGACTTGTCACGCACCTGACCTGCTGCCACGGTACTTCCTGTTGCGTCATCAGACTGTGTTGATCTGATCCGATCTGCTATTTGCCTTGTCAATCGGAAGTCATCACCTGCTTGTTTGCATTCTTTGACGTACTGGATAAACTTCCGAATCGTGCGGCGAGGCCATTGGAACAGATCCCACAAACCGCGCTCTCGCGCCGCGGCAAGTCTGTTCTCCTCCTCGCACTTATCTTGGACCACAGCAACACCGCACGGAGATGCCTCACGACCCTCGCTGGTAACATGTGCACTGGTGACGGTGGCAGCCACAGCGGCCACAGCGGTTGGAGACGCAGCCACAGCTCTCTTCTGCCTAACCCGCCGCCGGGGTGCACCAGTGCTGCTCGGAGACTGCATGGACGGCGAAGACGGATCCATATTCATAAGTATTATTTATTGCTGAAGCTTGGAGTCTGTGTAGCAGGAAAACATGCACTTGCGTATGCAGTTCCGGCCCTGCAGAATCTTCTACCGGATACTGGCAAACTGGAGCAGACATAGATCGCAGCAAACTGTGTTTCTTTTAGCGGTGTGAGACATAGATGAAGCTATTAATTATAAGTCTGTGCATGATATCTAATGTATGGCATTGCAGTGAAGACTGCCATGACATCAAGCAAACGTGGCAATTCCACATGTGAGACCAGCCACAAAACAACTCTGCCAAGCAACACCTGCACAAACGGCATCATTTCACAATTTCAAAACAAACCTCAGCATGTGTTTCCCGTGATGCTCTGCACTTGGACTAGGCCCGAACCATCCGTAGGGTCCGTAGCAGCAACGTCGCTGGAGTGCAAGCGCCGACCTTGGCATGTCGGCAGCATGGTAGCTTGGTTGGTGTCCTACGTATACAATACACCATCATTCAGCGCACCAAGGAAACATAAACATATCCATGTGTGGTGTATATGTAAATGTATGAGTCCGTATAAACATATTGATGATTTAGTATAATATAATCTAATAGACTTTTAGATAAGGAAACATAATACAATACAAGATACTATAATACAATTCACTATCATATTAGTATAGTGTATAGTACTATATAATGTATACCATATGTTTTGTTATATTATTCAACATATGTATATACACGTATAATTAAAAGAAAAGCGGTCACTTTTCTGATGACTCAAGACTGAAGACTCGTGACTCATGTTCAAAACGCATCTGTGCAAACACTTATGACAATGATGGGTGCGGGGGCCGTCCGCCCAGTTCGCAGACAGTGGCTGTTCACAGGGCCTGGGGACAGGGGCGCGGACAGTGGCTGTTCACAGGGGTCCCGGGGACAGGGGCGCGGACAGTGGCTGTCCACAGGGGTCCCGGGCCAGGGGCGCGGACAGTGGCTGTCCACAGGCGTCCCGGGCCAGGGGCGTGGACAGTGGCTGTCCACAGGGGTCCCGGGCCAGGGGCGCGGACAGTGGCTGTCCACAGGGGTGCCGGGCCAGGGGCGCGGCGGGCCAGGGGCGCGGACAGTGGCTGTCCACAGGGGTTCGGGGCCAGGGGCGCGGACAGTGGCTGTCCACAGGGGTCCGGGGCCAGGGGCGCGGACAGTGGCCAGGGGCGCGGACAGTGGCTGTCCACAGGGGTCCGGGCCAGGGGCGCGGACAGTGGCTGTCCACAGGGGTCCGGGGCCAGGGGCGCGGACAGTGGCCAGGGGCGCGGACAGTGGCTGTCCACAGGGGTCCCGCGCCAGGGGCGCGGACAGTGGCTGTCCACGGGGTTCCGGACCAGGGGCGCGGTGTCCACAGAGGTCTTGGGAACAGGGGCGCGGACAGTGGCTGTCCACAGGGCCAGGGGTGCGGACAGTGGCTGTCCACGACAAGGACGCGGACAGTGACTGTCCACAAGGGTTTTTGGGCCAGGGCGTGGACAGCGGGCTGTCCACGGGTACAGGGTCCGGGCCAAGGCCGGTTTCGGGGGGTGATAGTTGTATGGCTTCGGTTGCATTCATCCAAATCATACAGCATAAGGCTATGTATAAAAAATATAATATTACGATTATGTTATGGTTTGTGGTCTATGGTTGTATGATATCACAACATGTTGTATCATAATGTATTTATGGGCTTGCCAAATCCATTTAAGCTGTATATTCATACTTCATATCTATGCTCAGCTTGATATTAGCACATATGTCTTCGACCGAGCAAATAGCAACATGTCTGCAGGTCTCCAAAGCTGAAGTGCATGACTGCGTGACTGCCTAGCCGCGTGAGCACATGAAACGCACAGAGGAACTGAGCAACTACCGCCACTGATTCTAGTTCACTGCTGACCGCTGACCAACAACACTGACATTGCACCCGATTCCCAAGTCAAGGCTTGAAGCCGAGCCGCAAGCCGCAATGGTCTCGACGGTGTAGTGTCCTGGGATTGCGCACACACAGTGTTGAAATTCAGCTGTGCTGAGTGCATGTGTCGAAATCTCAAAGCAGTCTGCACTGCACCGGCACACGACGCACATCAAGGTCTGCCAACTTTTTGGCATGCAGTCCTCTGCACGGTCTTGCAAGGAGGCAGTTCGCGCCATCAGTTCACTGTACTATAGACTCATAAGCCCATAAGCCATAAGCTAACAGCTGTACATACACACACCGACTATACATAGCACCTGCGGTCGCGGTTGCATCTAGATGCACATGTGTAAAGCTTCTATAAAACTGTTCATACATACATTATAACATTTCAAAAGTTCCAGATACAACAAGCAGTGGCAGGTGGATTTCGTCGATTCAAGACCGAGACAACGTCGCTGGTGCGAAGGGCCACCGTCACGGTCATAGTGATGCAACACTGCAACCTCACATCTTGAACCACAATATAACTAGCATGGCTGGTATGTGCCGCGGCAGTTATAGTGTGCTGCATTGCAAACGAGAAGCAGCCTCCAAGTTGCGAGAAGGCTGTCGTTCCATGTTGATTCATGGCCGGCCATACCTTGTATGGACCAAGGATGTTTCGCACAATCGCGAAGGCTCAACAACAGGTGGGCGCAGGCAAGCCTTTCACAATGAAGCCAAGGGTCTCAGGTTGTTTTTCTCCTCCTCTTGGGTGCCGGCTTGTCCTGCGACGTCGTCTTGTCATTGTGCTTCACCTCCAGCCAGCCATTCTACAGACACTGACACCAACGGCCAACATGAAAATGAATCAAGGGCGTTTGCAGTGCAGCCATGTAACTGGCGGCTTGCGACGCCTGGTCTTTGGCTGTGCCTTGTTCTGACCATTGCCCTTCGGCACCGGCGCCCGGGATGCCGCAGGAGATGCCGCAGAGGCTGGAGAGGTTGCCACAGGCGACGCCGGTGCAGGTGCTGCGGCAGGGGATGCCGGCGACTTCAACAAGTCCTGCGTGCGGCGAAAAGATAAACAAAAGCCACACAACAAGGCTGCATTCGCAAGAAGTGAACCCGAACCCTGAAACACACCTCCATCTCTTGGCTGTCCGCACACTCCAAAGCCTCGTCGTCAAAGATATCCGGGGTCCGTAGCTCCGGCGGCGAACTCGGGGTAGATGCCGCTGGCCTCCGTGCGGGTGTTGCCGCAGCTTTGCGGTCCATCCCCTCTTTCAAGGAAGCCTTGGAAGGGCCTGCGCCATCATCGGTTGAAGCTGAACCAACATCAGCATCATCATCTGAGTCACCTGCGCTTGCGGGCGGTGAGGTAGGCAAAGATGAGGAGGGCTTCTTTCTATCCGAACTTGCCTTCTTAGATTGCTTCGTGTCGTTCTTGGCCGCAACCTTCGCCGACTTTCGCTCCGTGTCCTGCTCGCTGACCCGCTTCTTGGAGTCCTTGGAGTCATTCTTGACAGTCTTCGTGGCGTCCTTCTTGTGCTCCTTCTTCGGGTCCTTCTTGGAGCGCTTCTTGGAGTACGAAGGGGAACGCACCCGCGGCCGGTGGGCGCGACTTGGCGCTCGTTCGACGGCCTCCGGTTTCGTCTTCTTCTCCTTGGCCGCCTCCGCTGCATCTGCAGCTGGTGACTCCGCAGACGAAGATGAGCCACCACCGTCCGGTCCAGACTCAGGTGCCGGTCGAGAACCCTGAGCCTAAGTGCAGTGGTCGTTGGGCAGTTGACAATACATGCTAATGGGCAGCTCACGGACTCACTGACAACGCAATCCTCATCTGGCCGAGATTCCCCATCTGAAGCCACTGAAGCCACTTCTGAACCCGGCCCAGGCTTCGACGCAGTTCTCACGCCAGCCGAGGGCTCATCCTCAGTAGCCTCAGTGAACCAGACGTCAACGGACAAACGGACCACGGACCAATGCCAATGTGCCGTCATGCTGCTGCAATACACGCATGCAGGCTGCAGCAATCCTTAAGCCAAGCTTCCTTTGATTCCTTTGCTGAAGCAGGCGAAGGCGGGTGGCTTTCCGACGCAACCTAAGTGCAGCGGAACATGACACATGTGATACGGCATAGACTGCATAGACAGATCTGCATAGTCTGCATAGTGACTGATTGTGCTGATCATGCCCACATGGCCGTTATAAGCTGTAACTCTTTAACTCAGGTCTTGCATGCCAATAACTGCACATGACGAGCATGCAGCACACGAGCAACATGCAGCACAGGCAACGTGAAACCGTGAAACTGTAAATAGGCGAGAGGCTGTTCGGCGCGGTGGTGGTACAACCTTTGGAAGGTGCCGAACCGGAGGAAGTGTAGTCGGCAAATCCGTGGCCGTCAACTTCGGAGGTGGAGGTGGTCTCGGTGGCTGCTGCTGCCTTAGCAGCTGCGCCGGAGGTGGCGTCGCAGGAGGTCGCGGCTGCAGCGTCTCCTTCGCCAAAGTCTGTTGCGAAAAAGCAGCCTTGAAGCCATCTACTGGGGTCGTCTGCCCAGGCGGGGTCGGAACTGACTGAGGCTGCTCCACGGGTGGCGTTGGCAGTGGAGGCGGACGCGGCGGTGGTGCATGAACGAAGCCGCTGTCATCCACCCAAACCGTCACTGGCCTCAGCATGCCAACCGCCGGTCTGGCCCTGTGCGCTGGATCGGTAGGCTCCATGTGCGGCCGACATCCCATGTACGGGCCGTGTGGCACTGTCAAGAAGCCCCGACAGGGCATGTACGGCACAGCAGGTCCCTGGCGCATTGGCATCTGTTGCGGCATCGGCATCTGTGGCACCGGTGGAACGGTTGGCATCGGTGGCATCGGTGGTGCCTCCATCGGTGCCTTCGGCCTTGACGTCGGCCTGGGCTTGGCATCCTTGGCAGGAGCTCGCGCAGAGGGCCGCACATGCTGCGGCGGCGGCGGTGGTGGCGGGGGTTGCCACCGGCCTTGTGGATCCTGATCCACCGCTGCCTTTGCCTTGGCAGGCTCTGCAGGCTTGGTGCTGGCATGCCAGTCAGGATCGGCCTGGCCACCCAAGCCATCTGCAGCCAAGCCATCCCCAGCACCGGCACCCAGACCATCCGCACTCGCATCCGGCGCATCAGCTTCCACATCCACCGGATCCGCCGCATCCGACGGAGCAGGAGGGGTTGCCTTCGTTTGCAGCTGAAGCCGCGGATATGGCTTCTTCGCCGCTTGCTTCGGCTCTTCTGAAGTCGATGCCATGGCCACACCAGGCCGTGGGCCGACAGTCAGCCTAGTATTATAAGTGCAATAAGTGCCGACCGGAAGTGAGTCAGTGTGTGCGTGTGCGCAAGTGCAGCGACAGCTTCACTATGGCTCACTATATATGCCTATGCCTGCAACCGTTACTCACTGGATGCACGTGACACTGACATGTGCGAACCCCGATGCTTCGCTGCTGCAGCTGCATCAAGGGCAAGCGCATCTGCTGCATTACGCATGGACGTGGGCATCATGTGGATGCATGCTCTGCACAAAGCACAGAAATGCTACTGCCTGCTGAATGCTCACAGCTGGGAACGTCTGACTTGCACAAACAAATGCAGCCGAGAATCTAGTGACTGGAGCAATCATCCATTCACATTGTTCCATCAGACAGTCACACAGTCCTCAGGACGAGCAATTGCGTTGCAACACACATGCCGCGCCAGCCAAACACCACAATTTAGAACACGTCTTGCGGAGCGCTGCCGTCAGTCCAAGCAATATAAGAAGAACATGATTATAAACCCTATACATGCTACTGCTACAGGCTGTTACAGGCCTGAGACTTTATCTGAGGGTTCCTCTTCGCTCACTCGAAAAATCTGGTTGGGGCACCGTGGGAGATCTTGATTTGACAGACATTCCTGACATTCCCAAACACCAAAAAACAGCTTCAAAATATGCATGCTTCATTGCGCTTGCAAGACTGCTACTATGAACACTCACATGGCTCACAACTCATGAATGTCGCAGCTGCAATTCAGGAAAAACACACGAAGACACTACTCAAATTCACAATAGGGTCTAGAGGCTAAACGCATCGGCCCCGGCCGCGGTGGTGAGTCATCCAATCATGCCTCGGGGCGAGCGAACCCACTGTGTTGAACTGCGTCACGAGTATGCAACTTTTGTGCTACTTGCACTGTAATGACCGCACATGTTGCATATATGTCACCTGTCACCTATCACAGTCACATGTGTCACATGTGTCGTCTGGAACTATGCATGCGAGCAGCTCAGCTCAAGTGTAATCCTCAGTCGGAGCCTAACTGCCTCGAACTAATCACACGAGTCCGCAATCCACATTGTCCCTGGCAGCCCGGCAGCCCCCTCTTCTCGGCCATTCGGCGAAAACTCAAACCCCAAAACACAAACACAGATTGTAGTCACCCTCAGCTGTCATTCGACTGAGGCCATTGGCTAAGCTCAGTTTGCCCCCGAGATAGAAGCTGACGGCACGCACCACACATCCTGTTCTGAGCTGAGGCTGAATTCCTAAAGCTGCAGCGATCTTCCGCTGCTGATACGATGCCATATTATGATTGATTACATGTCGCATTGACGAATATGTTGTATATATATATATACCTTGATACATCAAATGTCATGATTCCTGTCATGATATATTAGTATATGTATATGTTAACAAATACATATATATATATATATATGTATGAGAACTTGAGTGCATACCTGGAAGCAGAATGTACCTCAATTTTGTGACCCTGACTTTCCCGCTCACAAACACACACACACACACACACACACACACACACACACACACACACTGACGCACTGCCCTATTCTCTCGCACACGCAGACGCAGACTCATGATTCATGAACTCAAGACCCGTGACTCATGACTGTTGACACATGTCACATGTCACTCATGTTGCACGTCGATGTGAAACACAGTCCTGGGCGAGGGCGGAAACAGGAGCTGCTCGTCGTGAGCAGCGCAGCCCAATGTTCCCGACATCCAGTGAGGTAGACTAAGCAAGCTACGCAAGCCTTCTGCCAGGTCTTGCGGTGCGTCGCTTGCTTCCACAGCACCTGCAAGCTGATGCCCACAAGCCTCGTGCCAATGAAGTAAACAAAGTGGACACAGGCCACCGTCCCGGACACCATCCCGATCTTGTCCAGTTGCATACTTTTTGCAAAAGTGACAGACTGTTTCTGATTTCCGCTTCCACTGCCGACTGTGCACATCCTCCTGGCACTCGCAGACATCAAAGAATGACTCGACTCATAGCAAGAATCAGGAGATGCCATACCAACCGACATGTCTGACATGATATGATGGCATGTATCCCACAGCATCACAGCGCCATATCATGGTATCATACTCATAATCACTCATAGTTATCATATCATAGTAGCAGCATATAACCAATGTTAATATCAACGCAATGAATGATGCATGGTTATCATAAATCACATTAAGAAATCATATTGGGCGGTGGCCGTGGCGATGAGATCATATCGAGCAGCTACTATACAGAACACATAGTATCGGTGCAGTATCAGTAAAGTAAGTATCAAATAATGCAAGCAATCTACACAGAGCTCCTGGTTCGCATATGTCATCGACACTTGCGCAAAGGCACGGAAACGAACCATGTCACGTGGCAGCTCATCACGCAGCGCTCCGTGCTGTCGCTTGTATTTGCGGCTTGTTGCTCCAACTGCATGCACCAGGTAATCGTACTCATCAGGCATGAAAACATGCGTTGGCACAGGTTTACCAAACATGGAAGCCGGACAGTAGACCACCTTGTTGTCCGAGTCTATGCGCACCAACCTACCGACTCTCTCTGTCACGTCAACCCACTTGACGAAAAGCAGCTCCCCTGGATGTTCCGGTTTGCCACCCCCTGCAGGCGCACCACGGGGCTTGCGGGCTAGAAGCGATAGCTCATCGTTGAAGCCAATGTCTTGCAGACAACGAGTCCTTGCATCTTTGATAGCCGCCCATGTCCGCGCCAGAGCTGCTAACCACTCACGCCTGGCACGCACTGCTTGGCCTTCCAGTGATGAACTGGATGCACCCACACCAACAGCATTCGTAATCGACTTGACAGTGGACATTTCAGGCGCGACGTCTATCGGGTCCTCGTTTGAGGCAGACTCCTTGTCGTCTTGGGCATCGGCATCAACACCTGCCTCTTGGCCCAAGCAATCTGCAACACTGTCCCAATCAGTTTGGCTGCGCTCGAATTTGGTTTCTCTCGCAGGTCGTGCTGAAGCTCTAGCTTTTCCAGGAGCCACTATGTTGTCTCTGTTTGGCTGAAGCTTGGGCGGTGGCATTGACTGTGACTGTGAAGCCACTTCTTGCCGAGTCCTGACCAAGAGCAACAGTGCCTCTTCTTCCAACTCAGCACCTGTCAATGCAACATTGACGGCACTGCCGCCACGATCACTGTTATTTGCTTTAACGAGCTCCTTAGCGTGCTCCAAAGCACGAAGCATGTTGCTTTGTGCACTTGCTTGCCCAACTTGCCCATCCTTGCCCGTCATGCCGGCAATGGCCGATGCATTCCTTTTGTTGATATCCGAGTCGTCCAACTCATCCATCAGCTTGTTTGCCTGCTCCGTAGAATTGTCTTCTTCTTCTCCAAAGCCATACCCGGCTTCAACATCTACAAGTTCTGTAATCTCTGCGTCAATCGTAGCATCATCCACACCATCCACATCCATACAGGTTTCCTGTTGGATTGATTCCGGAAAGCTGGCAGTGCCAAGAAGTTTTCTTTTTCTTGCAGGCTGGCCGCCAACTTCCACAAGCGCACCCGCAGCATGAGACACTCCGCAAAGAACAGCTCCAAACGAATATTTGGAAGAAGACGCAGATTCTGTGCCCACGTCGCCCACGCTAGGGAGCGCATCTACCTGCAAGGCAGCCAAGCCACCAGTCGGTGCACGAAACAAATGCAAGCCTTTCAACGCAACCCTGGTGTCGTTGTCCTTGAGCATGTCCTGCAGAATCTCTTTCATCGTCGTGAACTGAAACCTGTCGCCCTGCAGCCGGAGCTCGCCTGAATCAGTCCTCTCAAGTTTTGCAACGACCATGTGGGATCTCAGAGATGTCGCGCAAAGCACGTGGCAGTCACGAACTTCTGCTGCATCTTGTGTGTCTGCGGCTTTTGCTTGAAGCTGAAGGGCACCTTGAGATGCGGTGCTCCACAAACGACCTTTGGAATCAACAAGATCTTGTCGAAACTGCGACTGCGCCCTATGCGCTGCCAATGCAGATCCCGCCAACATACGTGAGGCTGCTGTGATTTTCAAATCAGGCAAAGCGAGTGACAGGTTTGTGTTAGCCAGATCGTCGTGAAGCTGAGCCCAATCAACAACCGAAGTCGGCGTGAACCGGTTGGGCGTGTCCAAGACAGGCTTGTAATTCTCTCCTGACCCAAGCAAGTCTTGAAGCACCGGACCAGCACGACGCTTCACAGCAGACCACCTCTTGCATGCGGAGTCGTCATCTACACCTTCACCGGTTGCCCTGGCAAAAGCGCAAGATTTCTTAACGATGAGCCGGCTGGACAGTGTGGGTAAGTCTATTCGCGGGCAGCGGGATGAGATCAATCTGATGATGCTGTTGATGCTTTCGACCAGCTGTGTGTCTCCCAGAAATACGGCGCTCATCGCACGCAATATGGCATACAGCTTGCTGCCCGCGCTTGTGGCTCGGAAATTGAACCGCCCTTCCTTTGCGATGAATTCCAATTCAGAGTAACACAGGCACTTCAATTTCTTGGCATTGAGTTCCATCAAGTTGTCGTCTGCGCTCAGCAACTCCTTCGCAATGCCTGCGGTGTGCAGAAGCAACAGCAACGCGGCACATGATCGACCTACGGAAATACGACTCTATTCATGACAACATGGTATTGGTATGTTGTAAGCAATATGTAAGTTATGTTGAAGCACCAGTGCGAAAAGTCCGTTACAATCACAAGATGTAATGCACATACATGGGCACATGCACTGGCACTCGCGTGTGCTGCAAAATCAATGGTTGCACTGAATCAAAATCAATATGACTCACATCATTATTTCCCGAATCCTTGGCGTTTGCTGCACCGCATTGTCGCTGGCTGCCACAACATCCAGAAGAGCTTGAGAGGATACCTTCCAAACCAGACTTATTGTACACTTTAGTTACATAGTTACATGGCTTACTCTGCAACAGACGTGACTGCAGTGACTGCAAGTTCAAACCAGTTCATGTGCAAACTGCAAACATTTAACTCTCAGCTCTGGTGCTTGCGTGTGACTGAGACGACACGCAAATGGAAACCGCCTGCTGCTGACGTCAACTGCTTGAATGTGAAAGACTTGATCATGCCAACCAGGTCTTGAGGCAAATCCCCTGCTTTCATTTCCGTCATGGCATCATCGAACCAAGTGTCAAATGTCTGTGCCAGCTTGTCGAACATCTTCATGACATGATCGGCTTGGTGTGTCACAAGTTTCAGGAGCAACTCATCGTTACTGTGTTTCTGGCACCAGCAAAGGAAATACGACAATGGGCCCCGTACTTCGTGCTGAAGTCGAAGCAGCACCCAGAAAAAAACTGCAGCGAACAGCAGCGAAAGCCCCACTGGCCCACTTTGTCAGTTTCAGCTTAAATGCATCCCGCGAGTCGTCGTCCATCAATGCCGCAGTCGCATCTTCTTTGCGCTTTGCCGTCGGCACACTCTTTGCCTTTGCCTGTGCTCCTGCCCTTAAACGCTTCTGTGCACTCTGTTCTTCATCCTCGGGTTTGGCTGCCTTCATGCGTTTGCTCAACATGGCCAACAACACATCTTGCAGATAGTTGCGCCCACGTGCAAGAAAGAAAGATTCAGCCACATCAATGGCCCCCCATCTGCCCGTCACGACTCTGACCGGATATCGGCGATAGTTAACTCCCTCTGCAGGCGCTTTGGGTCCGTGTATCTTCTCCCAAAGCTCCACGAAGTCATTCACATTTTCCCGCCAGAAGTTAATGCACTTGCACAGGGATGCAATATACTTGTTGAATCCTTTGAACACATTGGGAAATGCACGGGCTGCCTCAGAAATAAACTCGTCAACTTCTACCAAGGACTGGTGCACGATGAGATGCATCTGGTGTAACAGACAGTTTGTGTCTACATAAAACACCGTTGGCAGATCCGCTTTTGCCAAGGCCGCCAACGTGCGGCGTCTACGGGCACTTTGATCTGTACCAGCATCTGTGGAATCGGCAAACACGAATATGGCCTGATTCCCCAGCTGCCCATTCCTGAGAATGGCAATGTATAGTAAGATCCCAAGTCAAATGGTCAACTGCCAGTAGTCATTGTATTTATCATTTATCTAAGGCGTATGACACATGACATGAAACCCGTGAAACTGAGACGCTGCTTCATTCCTGCAAGATCATGCAAATATGGGATTCCCAGAGCTTTCAACTGCTTCACCACCAATGCCAAGGAATGAGCCGCCGTGTTGCCGGAGACAACTTGCAAATCGGACCTTGTTGGTTTATCTTAGCCAATACATAAACACGCAATGTCGACTGCAGTGTCACTGGCAAAACTTAATGGACCGGACATAAACAAGTCATAAGGTATATGTGTTAATGGTGGGACGGCTAGGGATGCAAGTCGATCAGGCAATCAGGTCGATGCACACAATGCACACGGCACACAACACACACACACACGCACTATCTACTATGATAATTCTGACTAAAGTGATTCAGGTAATATCAACGAAGCGGATGTGCAAAAGTTGCCAAGCAGAATTAACCGAAAGCCCGGAAACACACAACGTCGATAGCTGACCGCTGAATTGAAGTCGCCAGTCTTCAGTGCATCTGGATCTGAAACGAACAGAACTGAAGCCTCCAGCACGTGCAACTTGCTACGTCTCCACACGGAGGAGTTTGTAGCATCTGCTCTGTAAGCAACTGCCATCAAACTCCATCCCTCCGAATCTCCCTGAGAGCACTGCAACGCCATGCCCAAACCTTCGGCAACGTGGGACTGCATTAGGTGCACGATGCCTGCTGCGGCTCGTTGCTCACAGCGAATCACGGTTTGGCCACTCACGTCAAACATTGCAATGATCCCGAAGTCAGCAGCAGCTATGGAGGTCATACACCGACGAACTCCAATTGAAAATATTGCCTGTGTTGAGAGACGTCCACCTCTTCCATCTTTTTGTTTTCCTTTCTTACTCAAAGCAAATACATCTTCATCTTTTTTCATCTTGTCCAATTGTTTTTGTGATTTCAATGCTTCACGCGCGGCCACCTTTGCCTGAGACTTGTGCACAACCACCTGATTTCGCAAGCCTGTGAGTTTCTCGTTTTGAGATACCAACGTATCAGCTTGTCGCAAACACAACTGCACAAGATCTCCACGTGACAACTTGCTAAGCTCTTCCAATGTTGGCTTAGTTTGCAGCGGTTCGTTGCAACTGCTTCCTGAAACTGAAACCAGCGTACTTCCAACAGGTACGGCATCATCATGCGACCCATGAGGAGCAGCGACTTCTTCTTGCCTGCCATCAGAATCAGACGGCACATCGACACAATCAGGAATCTCTGCCGCAATTGCCGGAACCAAGCAATCGTAATCACCACCGCGATTTGTATCTTCCGCCTGATCTTCAACTTCCACTGTCACCGATGGAAATGTCACACCGAAATGCGCACATGCAGATCTCAGCTGAAAGTAGTTGACTGCTTCTGAATGAATGCCACTTTGTCGAGGAACCTGCGATGCATGCTTAACTGCGACCGTGCTATCTATTTCCAATCTGTTGTCATTGACAGCACACTGCACGAGTCACTGCACTGCACGAGACAAACTAATTTCAAGCCATGTAAGTATGCAATCAGAATCATGAACTTGAAGAGGTATATGGCATATGGCCCATATGGCAGTATTTTTTGATATATCTTCATGATGTTATTGAATTATTGAAGGTAATCACTCTACTCTACACTTTAGTCCCCTGACCGGCCTGTGAGAAGATATGACGTAGTCTCTCGGATATCTGCTTTTGAGACATACCCTGAGAGGTGAAAAATGTAGATAGAGCCTGAGAAGCAGTCTGGTGACCAATCAGTGTTTGGCCATCGGACGAGTCGAAAACACTGGATCGTACCAGTGTTGCGAAGGCTCGCTGTTGCAGAAGGGACATGGCATATAATGAATTGGAGCTTCGCTAAACTACGACTCCCTTCAGCTAAAGTAGCGGCATCATATGATGATATGGTGAGATAGCACAACCGGGCTAATGCCTTCCAACCATGCGCATGTTGATCGCAAGCTTCGACAACTGATGTATCTCACATGCAAACGTCTTGCAGGCATGGACTTGAACACATCGTTGCAAGCACTCGTCACACATGATCACAAACGGCCTTGAAGCTTAACATATACATTTCCGGGCCCAAAAAATCTCTCTGATGACCAAGCGAGACGGGCGAATTTGATCCTAGTGTCAGCTCCCGACCCTATGATCCCATAACTTTCCAGCTCCAAAAAAACATAAGCATGACTTTTGCGACCCCGGCCGATGTTAACTACCATCTTCCATTTTCCCGGGCCGATCTTGATCTCCGGTCACCGGAGGGGATGCGTGAACAAGTTGCCCAGGGATACCGTTCACACCACCCTTCCCGCCACACCCTTGGGAGTGGAACTATCAACCTAAATCCCCAAACCGAGAGCCAAAACCCTTACCTATACCTGAAGCCCAAAAAAGGCAACCTAAATCACACCAGAAACCACAGAGCCTGAACCCGAAGATACACCCTAGCGCTTAACCGAACCCTAGATCTCTGAATCGTCGCCCGTCGTCGTCGTGGTGGCAGCGAAGGTTTAGGGATTCCGGACTTCGTCGCACTAGTACTAGCCGTAGTCATAGCAGCAGTTGTAGTGGGAGAAGGACCTGCTTCTGTTGCAAGGAGGAGGCCACACAATACCATAGACTCTGGAATTTCACGTGTAGGATGGGTTTGGAAAACCCTATAGGCCCGAAGGTCTAAAGGCTTTGAGCCGTTGGATTCCCTGAAGGCCCCAAGCACTCAACCTCCCCAAACTGCAAACCCTAAACCCTTTGTAGCCCTTGTTTTGAACACATACTGAAACCCTTTTACACCTGGACTACGCATACTGAAACCCTAAACCCTAAACCCCGAACCCTAAAACCCTGAACGCCTCCTCCGCCGTAGTCGACAAAGTCTGGGGCTCGCGACAGGGTCGGAGCCTCACAAGCCGGTGGGATCAGTTTCATATTGCATAAGCTTTACAGCTGCGACGATCTCACTAACAGCTAGTGTAATCAAGTTTGTTGTGGTCTTCAGGTGATGTAGGTTTACGGTTTTCCATGCTCTGGAGCCCTAAGCCGTGACATGCTTAGCTATGCTTAGCTAAGACGAGGCTCCCCTGAGATTAAGAAACCTCTGTGCGCCATCTGCGGTCTTCTTCCGCAGTTTCTGTCTTCTTAATGTTTCGGGGCCCGTTTAAGGCCAAGGGCCTTACAAGCTCAGGGCAGAGGGTGCCGCGATGTAAAGTTAAGGCTTGGCTTACAGGGCTCAACATCGTTCGAGCTGCAGGGTTTAGGGTTGTTGACGCTCCTCTGCCACCGGATCACCGCAGTGGTCATCATTGTTATCTGCGTGGTTGTCATCGCCGTCACCAGCACGAAGCACCATGGTCACGTTTGAAAATCATTGGTGGTGATGGACAGCACCATATGAAAAAAAACATTGAACGCCATAGAACTAATGCGGCGTCGACAAAGCGATGTAGAGCTGCTGAGGGGTCCGTGCTCTAAACTTGGCCCTAGACTCTTTTTGAACCCAGGCTCTGTGCTATCAGCTGGGCAGTAGACTCTAGACTCTAAACCCTTGGAGCCTGAATCATTAATTAAACAACCCAATGAAGCCTACTGGCCCCGATGTCGGCCTCCGGCCGACACGACACTCCAAAATGCCTCGACTTCCATGTTAGGATCCTTATTATAAGAAACCCTAACTAAGGTACCCCTAATTTTCGGAAACTCTCAACCCGCCACCCCAACATCAAAAAGCAAACCTTGGATAAAGGGTTGGAGGTTTACACGAACGGGGCTTTGCTTCATACGGGAGTCAGTGTAGAGACCTCACAACCCCGAGGTTCGGCGCTGAGAGTTTATGAGGCCAAACCTAGAGTAATGTAGTGGCCTTAATAATTCGAATAAAGTATTCGGGGGTTCCTTCTTATAGTGATAGTGGAAGAGACCCCCAAACCCTATCCTAATTAATATAAGGCCCCTGCATTACAGTACATTTCAGTCAGTCCACCTCCGGCGGCGCTGCACGACTGGGGAGTCGCCCATGTTTCACAGGCACGCCCGCCCGGCGAGGGGTAAAAGAAACCGGGCAGGACCTTTGGGCCCATGCGGCACAGTCTACGCTCTT